CCTTCTCCTTCTCCTTCTCTTTGCACCCCTCGCTACTCTCACCCGGCTCATGATTCTCCTTATCCTCATCAGCCGCAGCCTTCCTGCCAGTCCCGGCCGACGGCCACCACTTGCTACTCTGCTGACCCTCATCAGACTCCTTCTCACGCTGCTCCTGCGGCGTCCCGCTCAGCCTAATCTGTCCCAGCTTGTTGAAACTCGAAAGTGGCGGGCTTTGTGCAATCTCCCGATGAGTCTTGTTGATTCTTTCGCGTCTGGCTTTACCCCTCAGTCGGTTCACGGGCTGCGCGCCATTGACCAGCCAGCGAATATCCATGATGGCGAAGCTGAGGCCGTCATGCGACGAGCGTGAGTAAATACCGTCGCCTTCTTCAAGGACGCTGCCCCATTCGCGGCTCATGATACCGAAGCGCGTGGTGGAGGCGTACTTTTCGAGCTTGGGGAGTACGAGAAGGGTCACGTGAAGATCGCGGTTGGCTGGCACAGCCATGGGGCCATTCGGAGGGGGTTGAGAGTATACCTCCGAGCCAGCCTCATCCTTGGTCGCCTGAGGACCATTACGCATGCTTGTGAGGATGTCCGAGGCGGTACTAACTGCCTCGTCCAAGCCCAGAAAGGCTGTATCCACTTCCTCCGGCCACTCGCCTCTGAACCAACCAGCATGGATGCAGGCAGCAATTACATCCGAGTCGTCAGTGTAGATGTCGGTACCCCAGAGAGCTCTCCTGGCAGTGATCTCCTCCCGGGCTTCGGGGGTGAGATGGGCCTTGCTGATCTTCACCGTCAAGGTGCAATTTTCCTTGCCCTGGATCAAATCCCATGGCAAAGGCCGAGGGGTCGACTTGAAAGGTTGACGAGGTGGCCGTTTGGTGCGTGAATCCTGCCTGCGCGATGGCGACAGCTTGGGATCGTACACAACCTCACCCAAGTGTGACCGCGGAAGATGGGCCACGCTTTTCAGCACGTCTTTTGATCTGACCTCATGCTTGGGTTTGGGGAGCTGGACCGGAGGAGGACTCGGGGGTTGTACCAGAGCTGCTTTGGCCGGACCGTTGCTGGGATGAGGCATCGATCGAGGAACGACATGGTGATGATGATGAGTCGTCGGCAAATCCTTAGAAAGCATTGCATTGGGCGGAGGCACGGATGGTGCCCCAGTCACGTTCTTGAACGGCGTATTCCCCATGAGCGCAGGCCCAGGGCCTTGCTGGAGATCATGCCGGTGATGATGATGGTGATGGCTGGATTTGTTAGTAGCTCCCTGGGACAAGAATGATATAACATCAACGTACTGATGATGGTGGTGGGTATGATGAGTCTTGGCTTTTTTGCCGCGACCCCCCACGGGAGTCAACCTCCCTGTGCTATCCTCGTCCATTCGGGATTCGTCGTCCTTGAGCTTTCTACGTTTACCACGGCCAGGGCCCTTGGGTCCAGGCTCGGCAACTTCTTGAGGTTGTGGGACTCCGTCGGAATCCTCACGACGCATCAAGGTGGACCCAGTAAAGGGAAGCTGCTGCATTCCCAATCCTGTGGGAATAGGGCTCATAGCGCCAACACCGGTACCGATTCCGGAAAACATGCGTCCGAACTCGCTCTTGATACCAGGTTCGCCTGTTGGGCCGGCCAGCTGGGGTTGGGCACCCTGGACAGCCTGGGGCAAAGGCGAAATGCGGCCCTTGCGATTGATCTCCTGAATGCCCAACAAGTTCCGCTGATGTCCAGGGGGAGCCAGTTCTTCCATATGACGAGTCCTCGGGGAACCGTACAACGAGCCCGTACCCACACCACTATAGGCGACTGACGGAGGGGGCACTGGCTGGTCTTCTCTGGTGCGAGGGGGGAGCTGCTGGTGTTGCATATAATATGGATGCTGGTGTTGCTGCTGTTGTTGTTGCTGCTGCTGTTGTTGCCGTTGCTCCATATGCATCATATTCATCCGTTGTCGTTGTTCCGGAGACTCAAACTGCATAGGACCCGGGCCATGAGCTGCCATGGCGTGTTGTTGATGGGGCGGGAGCGACGACGGAGGATATCGATCCGGCGGCGGACCCGTCGCATACGACGGGTGGCCACTGTACGGGGGCGCAGTGGTCACCGGATGCTCGTGCGGATGCCTGGGCATGTGTCCGGGCTGATCGTAGGGGCCTCGCGGCTGTTCAAAGCTCGGCCTATGCCAATGGCCTTGCTCTCGTGGATCAGGAGGTCGGCCAAACTGAGGAGGCGCTCTCTGATGCTCCATCTGGCGGGCATATTCGGCTTGTTGCATTGGGTGTGGCCGTCCAGCGTCACTCCCCGACATGGTCCTCTCGCGGCGCTCCCTCTCACGCATCTCTTGAAATTCTCGTTCCTGGCGCTCCCTCTCTTGCCGTTCCCTCTCAGTCATGAACCGCTGTTCCTCGTAGTTGGGCACTCGAATGGGACGTTCGGGGTTGTATTCTTCGACCGCTCTCCTGTCCTCCCTATGTCCATACATGTCGTTTGGCGGTGGTCTGCCCATTTCCAATGGACGTGGCGGAGGAGCGTTCGGGAAGGATTTGGGCTGACTGTTGGGCCGCGGCGGCACCCCAGTCCCAGCCATACGTGCCTGCTCCCTTGCTTGTTCTGCAGCAGTTAGCGGCGGGCCCCTATTGCTGTAGACCTGCGGTGTACCATAACGCTGCACTTCCGGGGTGTAGCCACCCGAGGGCGACGCAGCGATGCCCGTTCTAGGGTCCCTGGCATCTCCTCTAGGATCTCGGGGGTCTCTAGGATCGCGCGGGTCTCGTGGGTCACGCGGGTCTCGAGGATCGCGGCCGTCGAACAGTCTATGGCGGTCGGGCGTCTGTGGTCGGCGGAAGCCAAAGTCGGGGCCTGGACCTCCCATCGTGTGCATTCGGGGGGATGCATGCATGGGTTGGTTATACGGCGGACCTGACACGCCCGAGGGAGGTCCAGGCGGGTATGGACCGGCAGGAACGCCGGGATCGCGAGCTGGTGGAGGGCCACCAAGCATGGAGGAGATGGACATGCTGCTTCCAGAACCGGTCCTTGGCAGAGACTCTAAGGCAGGGAGCTGGCGGTCCCTAGGAAACGCGTTCGGCGGCCCGATCGCGACCGGAGGAGCTCGAGGAGGCGGGATGCCAAAGGATCCACCCATCTGGTGCGCATTCGGCGGCGGGCCTTGTTGAGAAGGGTGTGGCGGCTGCGGTGGCTGCTGTTGCTGCTGCTGCTGCTGTTGATGAGGACCCGGATGTTGTTGTTGCTGCATGTGTTGCTGGGGATGTTGTTGCGGATGCGCTTGCGACGGCGGTTGTTGAAGCTGCTGCTGGTGGGACGGCGGCGGCGGGCCCTGAGGAGGCGGTCCCTGCTGAGGAGGGGATGTAGGCGGCGGCATCGCGCGATTAACAGGGCCGGGGCCTGATGTAATCGAAGAAGCGCTCGGGTGTCGTGAATGCGCCGGGGGCATCATCGGGCCGGACTCGTGTCGGCAAATGCCGGGGCGGGACCAGCGTAGTACTGGATGGGATCGGAGTGTTTGCGCGTGTGCAGATCTGCATGAAAAGTTGAGTGCGACGATGGGTGGGCAGAGGGTGAATAATGCTGCGACTGCGGCGGGGGTGGTTGCTGATGCGCTGGTTGCGGCGGGGAGCGATGTGATGGTGGCTGATGCTGCTGCTGCTGCTGCTGCTGCTGGTGTTGCTGCTGCGGGTGCTGCTGATGATGGGGATGATGGGGATGAGGATGTTGTTGCGCGTGTGGTTGAAGTGGCGGCTGCTGTGGTGGCTGCGATGACGCGGGCGGGAATGGTGGGCGACCAAAAGCGGCGGTGGTCGTGTTTTGGGCAGAACCTGGAGCAGCGTTCCCGTTCCGTGAAAACGGGAGCTGTGGCGGCGGCGGCTGCTGGTGGTGCTGGTGGTGTCTTGGATCCATCGTGTTGAAAAAGTGGAATGCCTGCTGGGAAAACCTAGGGCGGAGAGGACGGACGGACGCTCGGTTACAGGTACCCGCGGATCTCCAGTTTTAAAAGTCGAGAAGTGGGAATAAAAAAAAACAATGACGACTTTTTTTTCCAAAGTCCCTGCGCCTAGACCACCTCACGATCCTTGACTAGGGCTGCAACTGCACAGCGGCTGGACACCGACAAGGTGAAGAGAGCAAGCAGCACAGAGCAGCAACCTGGCCAAACTGAAGAGTCTCAACCACAACTCGACTGGAAGACGCCAAAGACTCGGTATTCGAATCTCTTTACTTCTTTCTCGAGACGTCTTAGCTAGATTGACGGGGAAGTAGACGATGGAGTTGAAAAGTTGTTGCTAACCTGAATGGCTGGGTTCTGGATTCGACCTGTGATGGCGCGCCCAGACGAGTGACGGGGATGCAACTTTGAAGAAAAACGCGGTTTGTTTGATGGAAGCAAGAGGATCAGTCAGGACAGGACCCCGACTCTCTGTTAACTGAGGTGACTTGGCGGCGGCACTGAGTAGCGAGAGGTAGTCAAGTAGAGGTAGCAACAGGAACCAACAACTGTCTGTCAGGCACTTGAAAGAGACGGGAGATTGTCAAGATGTGGTAATGTTGTGTGCCAAACGAGGGAAAGAAGCACAAGGTCAAAGAGGCGGAAAAACGGGAATTGTTGGTTTGTGACAAGGAAGGCGGCGTGTTCGAATGATGGAAGTGATGAATGGATGGACAGATTGGGCGATCAAAGTTCCGCCTGTCCTCTCTTCAGCTTGCTAGGTTGGTTGGTTGGGAAGGAAAAAGCACAAATTTTGGTGGGTGGTGGTGCCTGCGGTGCCTGTGCTGTGTGAGTGGTAGGTGTCGCTGTGTGGTGTACTTGGCCCTGTGGGAGAGGAAACCTAAGCGGGTGCGTCAGGTCGTGCGCAACTTGTCGTGCGTGCGGGCGTGTGTACCTGTGGTGCGCCCTCACCCATACCCCGGCTTCACAAGCTCGCCAACCTGCACGACTGGAACGGCCACCCCTGGACGGCCTGGTCCCCGCCGGCCAGGCTAAGTTATTATGGGGAAAGGTTGGCTCGGGGCAAGCTGCGTGACCGCCCGACGAACCTGCATTCGGTTTTTTATGCCACTCGTTTTTTGTTGTTTTTTGGCTGCTGTGTTCTTTTCAACAACGACGGTCCAACCATAGCAGCTTCTTTTTGCTTCTTGGTCCTCTTCTGCCTCTCGCTTTGGTTCGTTGGACGGGGGACAACAAAGGCACAGTTGGCTCAGTGTGTGCCAGTCCCCCAGCCGTCTTTATATACTGTAAAGACTTGGGAACCAAGAGACTGGACTGTGGTGGTGACAAGGAGACAGCAACAAACAGCACATGGTCTGAGCTTTATCTGTACAATAGGATGAAAGCCATTTGTATTGGGTGGAGTCACACGACCGGAAAGGAAGGCGGACAGCGAAATTCGCGAAATTCGACGAGAGGTCGAGAGCGAAAAAAAGAAGACGAAAATTCTGAACAGAAAAAGGAAAGCAGCCGAAGTACATACTCCGTACCACGGTAGCCAAAACAGGGATTTAGGGCGGACGTTAGCGCCTTCGGTGGGTGTGTTTGACGGACCGGGGCAACGGGGGGATGACAGGGATGATTTTCTGTCATTGGACCGAATTCTTTTTTTCACAGGTGATGATGTGGCTTGAGCGCCTTTTCCGGACTTCAGGGTCTTTTTTTTCACGTTTCTTATCTAATTCCATCAGACCTCAGTTATCATGTTTGTAAGTGATCTTTAGATCAAAAGTCGAATCAAAGACAACTTGAATTGAAGCTTCAAACAAGACGGAAGAACGGGCAATGTTGGTCGGATGACTGAAAGGTGCAACCCCCAACCCCAACCCCAACCCCAAGACAAGGTCGCAACCGAAAGGCGGCATTGACAAGAAAAAACCATGTCGATCTTGTCTCGACAATCAGGGCAGGCACGGCACAAGAGGCGGCCAACCACACCAAACCAAACACGGTAGGGCGCAACAAGGAAAGCACGGCAGGGCACCAGCCAAGTGGAAACTCCCAAGGGGACCCCCTCCATCATATCGTCCACTTCCACTTTCTTCTCAGGGGAAAGAGCGCCTCCCGTCCTCCAACAGAACAAGGGAATGAGGGGTAGACACTCGACTGTTCGAGGAATGCGGGCAGGTGCGGGCAACAAAGCAGCGAGACCCGAAGGAGGAGTCGTTGGGCCGTCAAATGCAACCTTTCCACTTCTTTGCGATGAACTGAACTGCTACCTACAATCAACCCTCGCTTTTTGCGCCATCAAGGAATCGACAAACATCCATCAATCCCCATCATCCGTCCCATCCATGCTCCCCTGACGCCTTCTCGGCCCTTGCCTTGTATCATCATATCATCGTCCCGCCCGCTACCTTAACTCTCGGGACTTGACTGAGGACTACAGCCCCGACTGCCACAAATGTTTCCGAGATGCGATGCGTTGTGGTGGGTCACGGCCATGCCGCTGCGGTGATCTGAGGCACGGATATCTCACCCTATGACATTTGACAGCGTACAGTCGGATGCTACGGAAGAGGATGGCCAGTGATGCCACCATCCACAGGCTCGGAACCTTATCGACCGATATCTTATCAGCAGCCGCCTCCTGTACCCAATCTCAGACACACGAAACACACGAAGCACGCTGTCAAGGTAAACGGTTTGGGGAATTTCTATCATCTGGAATGCTTCCATTTGCTAACAAACGCTTTCCTTCGTCACAGCCAAGACGGACTTTCCCCTGTTCCCCTCTCTCCTGAAACTTGTGGGGACGGCACGCCAGGCACAGCAATCCCTCTTCATCCCCACCAGCTTCGTACCACAACCGCCATATGGCAGTCCAACATCGGCTTCGGTGACGAACTAACAAGAGAGAGATAATTGGAAACTCTACTGGTGAGTGCCCAATTCAACTGGATGGAAGTTTTAAATCCTCGACGTTGGCTATACCAACAGCCTCGGTGCCGAGACTTGGGCCATGAGACTGAAGACATGAACTGGGTGTTTGCTCTGCCTTGGAATCTCGCCTTCTCCTGCAGAGGAATACGACAACACAAGGTAGGATGGCATCTTTCAAGGTAAGGCCAGGTGACGTACGATATTTGAGGTGAGTTCCATGCGTTCATGTCTGCCCTGCGCCCTGCGCCCTGTTACACAGCTCACCTCAACTTCTTTCACCTGGAAGGAGAAAATGCTATGTGGTCTTTGAGGTTTCTGAACTTCGAATTCCTTGACTAAGTGGGAAAGGACATTGAGATCTGCAATATGGACGGCATGAAGCAACAGTGCATATGTTGACAGCAGCGTACGCACAAAGCCAAATGCAAGGCAATGCATCTCAACCCGTCGCTTATACACCTTGCCATATTGCATCTTGCGGGAGACCTGCATAAGCAGTTACGGTTACAGCATGCACCATCATAGTCGGCATGCTTGGAAATTTTCAGAGACAACCAGGCAAGCTAATATCATGAACTTTCGAGTCATAAATAAATCCCTATCTTCAATCTATCACTACCGTATATCCACCAAACCATTCTCTTATCGCACCGGGATTCTTCGATCGTCGAGTTACATGAACCGATATCCTTTGACATTCACATGGCAGCAACGTAAGTTCACAAGAAAAGCTTGTCAAGCGACAACCTCAGATACCAAGAAATCGCATGCCTCTATTCAGGATGATGCCTGCGCGAGTGGAAGTAGGTATTTACATTGGGTAGGTAGATGTCGTGTGTTGGTTGATAGCAGTACTGCCTTAGACTCAGACGCAATGCTATGTACCGTAGAGGTATGCAAACTGCTAATGCCCTCGCCCAGTCGACAGGTCCCTGGCTTGGTCTCTCTGCCTTAGTCTTGAGCCTGCATGTACTCTGCACTCACTACATTCTGGACTTGACATGACATGACATGACACGACATGCATTTCTGTTCATCTGCTTGCGCACATGCCACATCTGCCCTAGGTAGGTATGTGGATGTGATCAAACCAAGCACAGCTCCATAACAACTCGATGTAAACAAAGGCCAGACAATCCCGATACCTACCAAGACCCCAACATCCAGCCATCAAGAGCCTCATTCCAGCTTCACTCACTCACTCCCACTAGCCCATGCATCCTGGCGCTCAGCCATTTATGAAACCAACGATCACTCTCCGGTTCCCCGAACGAACCATGTCTGTTGCGTCCGCATAGGAGGCTTAACGCACACTTAAAATATAAGACATGCCCATCCACCCCTTTCCTGGCAAGACACTCCAAGTTCTTCGACCATACCCATACCTTCGTGAGGTGACACAATCAGAGTTCCTTGACTTGACGAGATTCAATGAGACACTGCACGCAAAATGAGATTCCCATAGTTCAATTCATAAGCAATTCCCGTCTGGGCTGGGCTAGGAGTGCTGTTTCATGTTCCATTGTGGTACACTTTAATAAATAAGGACTGGAGGTTGCGTAAGACAAAACATCAATACCTAACCAGTTTGGCTGGGCTAGAGTCTAGTCTAGGCGGTACAGATATTTACAAACATTAGTTCAATAACTGTCAGGACCTAGGTAGCGTGCCTTGGTTCTCCTATAGATGGAGATACTTCACGACTAGTACAATATTAACGACTTGAACTATCAGTATTATTACCGTAATAGACGTACTAGATACTATACTCTGGACTCCTGAAATATGTCACTTCCTAGATTGTATCCTTGAGCGTTGTAGAAATCGTCAAGATCCCGAGGTGAAGTCGAAGTTGAGGTGAAGTTAGAAGTTCAAGTCCTGAAGCACCGAAAAGGAGGCTCCACTATGGAATAGAATCTGGCCAATCAACTAACACGGTTTTGGCTCCGTCGCTGACTTCCTGTTGAGGACATCATGACATCAGGACAAGGAGACAAAGAGGTCACAGTCAGCACACTCAGTCCTCGGTTTTCAGACACGGCCGGACTCCTAGTCAAGACAAGCCGAACGAGGATTCCATGCAATTTCACATCTCACAACCACCAGAAGAGAAAAGTATGGGACCATCAAAGTAGGGATTCAAGGTCATTAGGTATTACAGTTCACTAACAATTACAATGAACAAAAATATCCTAGGTGCTAACCAACCACTGCATTGCATTGCATTAACCCCCGATCGTTCATCAATTCGCTCATCACATTATCATACGATCATTAACCTCACTCTTCTTATACCACCCCCCTTACACCATCTCCCCAACATCATCAAACGCATTTAAGCATTCTTAACACCAGGCGCCGCCAACGCCAACAACCTCTCAAACCTAGGAGTACCAAGTCCAGTAACAGGATCCCACCCCTCCGTAGCGTTCCACTTGGCACTCCCGCCCTCATCCGCCGCAAACTCCGGGCGTCCCTGACATCCCGTGCCCGCACCGTTGACGATATCCGTGAACGCGCTCGGGGCCGCATAAAGCAAGGGGTTAATGAATCCCAAGCTCGGCAAGCCATGGCTCTTACGAGCAGCATTGAGCAGCGCCACCACACCAGCAAAAGCAGGTGCGCTGGCAGAAGTACCAGACACTCCCGCCAGACGACCGCCGATGTACACGGCGTATTTGTACGCCTGGGCGCTCACGTCGGGGAAGCCGCGGCCGTTGCGGTCAAAGAATTGCGAGTAAGTCTTGCCGATCTTCTTGAGGTAACGCAACACGGCGAGTTCCTGGTAGAGCGGACGCTCATGGTAGATGGAGAAGCCGCCACTCGAGAAATAGACGGCTTGCTCGGGCGCCGTCTGGTAGGTGCCGCCTACGGAAGTAACCCAGGGACAGGCGCCCGGGAAGGTGGGCTCGAAGTAGGTCGCGTTGGTGCCGTCGTTGCGGATGCAAGCGTCGCCTGGACCGGAGTCGCCCGAGGAGAATATCACGGACACGCCGCGCGCGCCGAGCTGGCCGATCATGGAACAGACCTTTAGGGCGTACTCGCGCGGCACAGACTGCTCTTCTTCGCCGTAGGAGGTGGACAGGGTGGCGGGGAGCTCGGAGTTTTTGAGGGAGAGGAGGTATTGGAAGAATTCGAGGTAGGGCTCGTTGGAGATTTCCGGGCCGGGCTGGTTGGCGGTGGGCACGAGAGGGCCGCGGCCACCGATGGAATACTCGCGGATGGGGATGGGGTTAGAGACCGCGAGGATGTATTGGAGGTCGAGGTTGGCCTCGACTGTTGGGGTTGTTAGTGTGCTGTTACAGATGGAAGGAATAGGGACATCTAACCTCCGATGTTCTCGGGAGACTGGTCATGGAGACCACCCTTGACGGACTTGACGGTGTAGTTGCGCTCAGCAGCACCGGGGACGAACGCCTTGGCAAACGAGGTGAAATCCTCATAGTTGGAGTACTGCTCGAGGTACGAGGCGAAAGCAACAGTGTTCTTCGCCGAAGCAGAGGGCGTATACTTGATGTTGTACAGGGAGCGGATCTCGTCGGGGTAGATGCAGCCGGTGCAAGTGGGGTGCTCTCCATTGGCGGCAACCTTGACGTTGGCGATGCCCTGGGTCTCGGGCTCCTCGTAGATCTCGAAGATGGTGGAGGCCTTGGCGGCGAGCTTGCCGAAGCGGGTGGTGGGCTGGATCATGTCGACATGCACGTCCAGCTCATCGGGGACGCTGTACTGGAGGGTGCGGAGCTTCGGGCCCGTCTTGTCACCGTCCTGCTGGTACCAGGCGAAGGTGGTGTTGAGCAGGTTGTTGGCCTTGGCGACCGAGGTGGTGAAGGAGACCCAGTCGTTGTCGACCTTGCTCTTGATGCCGTTGCGGTTGAGCCACTCGGTAACGGCATCCGTGGTCTCGTCCGAGGGGGCGACCAGGGAGCGGACCTCCTCGCTGCTCAGGTGCAAGCCATACTGGGGATGGTTGGGGGTGGACACGCGGAGGATGGCGGCCTCAAGAGCATCGGACTGGTGGGCGGGGAGGGCGATCTTGAGCGTGACGCTCTCGTCGGCCGAGGCGGCACGAACCTTCTTCCAGCCCGAGGGCACGGAAGGGAGACTGCTCTTGACGTGGGCAGAGGCGCCCGCGGCGAGGAGGAGGACGGACCAAAGCATGATGGGTGATGGTCGACAGGGGCCTGGTCTGGTTGGACTGAGGTGCGACTGGAAGGAGGGGGGAAAAGGGAAAAGAGGGGGAGGACGGGTATATTATATACTTTTACATCTATTATGTGGCCCATGGATATGCGGTGGGTGGTGGCGATCTGTGTATCCACGCAATTCCTACCTACTCTCTTCAGACGGGAAGGCCGCGACCACAAGCACGGATATTTTTGGAGTAGCAGCCACAACGGAAAGGCCACTGGGCGTATGTGGTACACAAAAAGCGGTAGAGATAGTCTGAGGTCTGTACAAGGGAACGACGCGTTAAGCTCCTCCCTGTTTGGGTTAACGTGCTCCCTGCACTTATTGGACCGTTTTAATCTAGCAAAACGTAAAAACCGGTTCGGAATGAATTCGTAGCCGAATGGTCGTAAAACCGGACATGTTACGGACAGTACATTACACATGCAGTCGTCCTTATTATGCCTTTTGACCTTTAGGCATTTTCGAAATGGAAAAATGCCTGATGGACTCCGCCCAATGCATTTCCATTTTTTGTGATGCCGATGATATTTCTTCGAAGGCCTTTCCTAACCAAAGCGAGGCGTATTGAACTGTCCATATTCGTGTTTCCGCGCGAGCGATGGATGGAAAGACGCAAGCTGGCAAGGTAACGTCAGGAATCACCCAAAGAGTTGAGTGATAGACGACGATCGGAATATGGGGGCTTTCCGCAGTCCGCCCATTAACTGGATGTGGTTACTTTGGGAGCGGCCGACTTGGCGAATAAGGGCAGGTCGATAGGCCTTCCCCCAGGTCTTTCCGGCCAAAAAGATCTATGAGATCATCGCCAAAGGAGCAGTTGCCTACCGAACGGAGTTTTGTCAGCAAGTGCGGGTTTGTTGGATGCTTGCCGATGCTAGTCGATGCGGATCTGTTGATGGAAAGAGGAAGGTCGAACGGCGTCTCGGCAACGCAACATTTCAAGACCACCACTGCACCACTAGGTAACTAACGGGCCGGGAGTTGCACTGTTGCAGTGGTCTACACTAAGAGGGTGCCATTGGCCAATCCGCACTAAGGTAGGTACCAGACACCACAAGCGGGACACGGAAAACTGTCACCGTTCCTGTCACCGTACGCCACGCGCCGCCATACGAGATCGGACTCTTATGCAGTGCCAAATGTTACAGTTTATGCAACAGAACAATACTACCGTCGGGCTGGTTGCGAAGGCTGGTGCTTGAGTTTGGTGTAGGGTGTATTTTCTGCGGTCATCCGCGGTCAGCAGTGCCAGAAGACAAAGGTGGTAGCCGGGCATGGGAATAACGGGATGCGCGGTTGTTGCTGGTCGTAATTTTATTTTGTTGCGGTATTGACAAAGTTTGTGAGGCGTAATCTGATGACAACGGGAACAAGATACTAGGTGAAACACTTGTACACCGTTGACGTTTGCCTTGTATGGGTGCTGTGGTAAGTTCACGATGTTTTTTTGTTTTTTTTGGCGCTCTCTAGCTCGATCGACTCAGGGCAACAACAACAACAACAGCCACTGGTGTGCCTCGGCATCTGCTTGGCAAAGCTTAACATGACGGGAATCGGGGAACAATTCTTTCTGCCAATGCCAATTCTGTCAAAACTGTCAGAATTGTCTGTCAATACAATGCCTTTTCCATTTCAGCGGGGAACTATTGAATTTCTGGCATTTCCGTTCCTTCTCGAACGCACATCAAAATGTCGATCGGAGATGTGCATATGTGTAGCCATTCTCCATTGTGTCGCGAGCGTCGGGTTTTTTGGTGATTGAAGTATCGCTGCCCTGCCTGTGCTGGTGTTTGCTCGCTGTTGACGGGTAATAACTGACAGAGGAAGATCTTCATGCCTACCTATTGTCCTCAAACTCAATATTTTATACGGCATGTCTTTCCATACCGTGACGACGTGCCGGCACCGTAGTGTACGCGATGGAATGACATGCCAACGAACGCTGCCCGCCTGCTGACCGACGTGCCCCACCTTAGTGATGGTTGACCTTCCCCTTGGGGACATGGTTCTCCCTTTTTTTTTTTTTTTTTTATTTTTTTTTTTTTTTTTCGATTCTCGCATGATTAGGATCTTTTGCAAAATCGAATCGTCATGGTATCGATGGCGCAAGAGAGATTATCGTATGGCAATTAGAAAAGGCGGAATTGCCCGACCGAAGCGGTGCCGATGGGATGGATGAAAAAAGGAGGGAGTTGCAAAAGAGGAAGGGAGAATGACGGTAAGGTTCGAAGAGTCGGCATCCGTGTTTAGATGGAAACCACCATCACCCAAATTTAATTGTTCTTGTCCTTCTGTAGTTCTATATTGCTTACCTCGCCCCTTTGCCTCCCCCTCATCACTCGGAGCTGAGTAACGACCATATTTTATTTGGTGGTGGTAACGATCTCGGAGAAGTCTTGGGTGAGTGCGGTTGGCTGCTTGGCTGCCTTTGCCTTCTTGCTTGGCGGTCAGGGACTCCAGGGTTCGGTAGGTCGCTGCTGGACTGTGCCGCGAGAATCGGGTCATCAAACTCCAATCATGAAGAGAACACTGCGGTTTGTTTTATTCAGCTGATGCTTATTTTCAACGCTTCGATTTTCGGTTCCAAGGTCCGGTGATGGAGAGAGTTATTTTCGTTGTCCTCCTCCTCCTCAATCGTCGACGGGATGGGATGGGATGGAATGTCCTCCGGGCCGCTCGGCGGTGTTTTCCAGGGGACGGACGGCCCACAGTGGACCATGAGTTCCATGCCAAACGGTCCGGAACGCTACCACACCTCAACCGGATCTTCGGCAGCGGCAGCGGCAGCGGCCCTGGATCTGGACCTGGATCTCGCTTCCTTCCTCCGTCCAGGATCGCGGTCGTCTCTCCGAAGCAAGTCCATCGCCGTCCGCTCCGGGCCCTGGCAGCGACCTCATCGGCCACGGGGTCCAGGGACGGACTGATGTCCGCAGGTGAAAGTGGAGTCGGACCCATCAGTCCGGATGCGCACGGCTGAGAATGGGACAAGGCAATTCCAATTTTGCGGCGAAAAAAAAACGGACACCGAAGGACATGCCTGTTAACCCTCAATCACGATGCCGCAGGGAGTTTCCTGGGGACCATCTTGAATGTTCTTTATTGACACTGACAGTGACAGGCACGGAATCGAATTAAATCCAGACAACGTCGCGCTCTTGGCAGGGCACGAAACGACCTGGACGCCAGCAGCCGAACCAAAGGAAATGGAAGTGGAAGCTCACCTCACGAGAGACTGGTTCAAGACTGGTTGGTTCATATGCGGGTTCGTGTGAGGACGGCAGGACGCGGGCCTGGCGGTTGGGTTGGGGTCTGTCTGTACGACGTCAGGGAGATGAAGATAATCAGCTTTTTTGATAATTAGTTGGTTCATCTTGCTCCTCAGTGACGACCGCCGGCGCGAGACTGTGAGATTGGGAAGCAGGGGAGATTGAGCGGCCTGGGGCAAGTGGCCATCCGTTATAGCGTCTGATTGGCATGGTGCGGTGAGGTGCCTTGCCTTGTGATCTGTGTGCCACAGCAGTTCTATCATGAGGCCAGAGGTAGACGCGTGACCTTTAACCGCAACCGTTGTTACCGCCAGCCAGCCGAACCGCCGTCATGCCGCCCATTGTGGTGGTTGATGGATGGTAGGTGGTGGTGATTTGCTTGGTCTTGGGTCTCTTTTGTCCCAGGTTGGACAAGCCACCTTACTTGCAGCAGGAATAACATTTGTAGATAGGCATGTGCTCATTTGCAGATGGAACAGGAACTGATAGGGCCATGATGGATGGCCACGATAGGGAAGTACAGAGTCAGATCCTGGGTTGTCAATGGTGGAAATTTGGTAACACTTCCTCTTCTCTGCTCTGCTCTGGTGTTCATCTTTCTCTGGGAATCAAGATCTCGGTCGGACATGTAATCCGTTCTTCAGCCTGCTGCCTGCTATCGCTGACCTGGTTGACCGTTGATGGCGACGGCTATTTCACCGGGTCCAATGTCTACCTGGCTCTCACATCACCGACTGAACCAGACTTTCAAAAACCAGGGAGAGGATGACAGAGATTGGGGGATGATGGGAGAAAAGAGACCGAAGTGGTAGTGGTCCGTGCACATTCAATCCCCACCAGCCGACTCACAAGACGGGAAGTTTAAGACGAATCAACGGACCAACAACACCGCTCGCAGGCTCCGGTGAGGAGTCAAAAGGGATGATGATGTCCTACTATCTTTTGGGGCTTATCTCCAAGAAAGAGATTAGAAGAGCCGACAGTTAATCTTGCTTACCCGAACCCTCTTTTTACCGTTCGGCTGTTTTGAATGGTATTGTTATTTTCGGTTTCTTGGAACATTCTTGGCGGCTTGGCCTCCACTTTCTCCCCTGAGACGGTAAGTAACAAGATAGGTTGGATTTACGCTTTCGTTGGTATGTAGAGTCGGATGCGAACAACACCATTGCAGAATGCAGCATCTTCGTGAGTGGGTGAGTGAGTGAGAGAGAAGAAAAGGGTTCCGGGTCCGGCTTTGAGTTTTGGGAAAGAGGAGAGAAAAGACAAAAACAGGAAGATCCTGGCTAACAGCATCTTGAATCTGGAACCCCCAATTTCTGCAAAAGAGAAAGCCGGGACTAGCACTCTATATTTTTAATTTTGGCTTCTCCACCCGCTGCATCCACTCGTCTCGTCTCGTCGGGTCTTGGACCCTGGGAGAGTGGGAGGAGGTAAACTCCAAATTGTCCATCATCAATCTGGTACATTTTGTACGCCGCATCTGGGCAGTGTTGTAGAGTCGTATGTCGTGCCGGGGACGGCTTCCGGCAGTCGCTAGCCACGATGGAATTAAACGTGGGTTTTCCGCGTTTTACCTCCCGTCCTGTGTTGCTTGCCTTGTCGGAGCCGTCATGTCAGAACTGTTGTCTTGATGGGCTGTTTTGACTGTGTGTCTTGTCCTTGACTCCATCTCAGAATTCGACTGTTTTCCTTGACCCATCCAGTCCCCATCTCTCTTCCCCCCTACTAACACTTTCTACACAATTTGGCCATTTTCATCCTCCTCTCAGTCCTCTGGGGTCTGGCCCGATTTCCATCTCTTTGTTGTCCTTCTTTCTTTCTCTCTCTCCTTTCCGTCCGGTCCTCCTCGTCCCTCGTTCCATTGTTTGCGCTCTGCCGTGTCCGGGGGGTCTAGATCAACCCTCTCTCCGGTCGAGGAACGTAACCATACCGGAGCGGTACCTTCAAACTGTTATGGTACCTATCTCCAACCACACATTCGCTCACCACCACTCACACGTCCCGTCACTCGTTATCCCGTCTCTTTTTTCTTCTTTCAGTCTTCAACAATTCCGAGATACCGCACCGCATCGCACACCGCACAACGATCGATAACGCAGTACGTCCTCACTTCTTGGTCGTACACTGTATACAGGCCAGCAGGTACCATCATCATCGTCGTCGTCGTCTAACTCGCTCCAGAGGTGCAGCAGCTCCCCAGTGTTGTGCAGTGCCTAGAGCCCCTAAAGCACTCCAAGCAGGCAAAGACCCCACATTATTACATCCCACTTTCCAGCAACCTTGGTCTCTCTGGCACTGCGAATCTCGATATCGACGCCGCCATTCGCTTCAGGTTCCACCTTTGAAGACCCCCTACTTCGTGCCTTATCACTCCTCAGCTGAAATCGCCGAGTCCTCGTGGGAATTTTGCAACTTCCAGCCCGACAGGGAAGAATTGCCAACTCCACAGCGTCTGCATTGAGGAGACATCTTTCATATAAACTAGACAGACTCCCCCTCGCTTGGATCTAGGTCATCATCACCAGACTGTCCGTCCTCGAGGTGCACACGGATTGCTGTCCGTTGTTACCTCACAACAACTTGAAGAGAAAAGGAAGAGGCATGCCCACCAAGTCTGACCTACCACATGACTGCCTCCTGACCTATTGCGTCCCTTGTCCCCGGGTCAACCGACTTCGACTGCATCACAATAGGATATAAGAAGCAAAAAACACTCTGCCAACGCCAAACCTCGACCAACATGGCCGCCAACTACAGCGCCCTGGGCCAAGGCGTGGATGACGACATCCAAGACTCGTTGGGCTATCATGATGTCGCCGTGGATGGGTCAGCGAGTAAACAAGTCGAACATCAACAAGGCCCAACATCAACTTTAGAGAATACAACAAGCACAAATACTCCGAGTGTCGAGGTCCAGCAGGCATTATCTCCAGCGCAGTCTCCCAGGTCTCCAGCGTTGTCGCACTCCACCGCCACCGTCAGCACGGCGACGCCAGGAACCATGGCCACGACACCGTCCCCGTCCGCGTTTTTGTCACTGGCCGACCACACCCTTGCTCCGCTGGACGACGAAAAGACGGTTGTTCCTGGCGATCAGGATGGAAATCCTGGGAATCATGAAAATCAACAACTGGGTCTGGAAAGGGATCCTCCAACCCGGCTGTTGAGCCCGGCGGGAATCGTTAGACGCGCCAGCAGCACGAGCAGCATCAGATCGGCCGGGTCCAGCGCTAGCAACACTCCGTTAACCGCTGGAGCTCAGGCCCTCCTTCCACCGCCAGGCGCACCTGCCATCCCGGCACTCGCAGAGTTGGCAGCACGCGGCGCAACCACGGTCAGCTACATGGTCCAATCTTACGAGGCGCTACGAGCAGCCAGGATTGCCGCCGGATACGATCTGGTGCAGGTGTCGTCCAAGGCGAGTGGAGGAGAAGGACCATCACCATCACCATCACCGTCGAGATCCCGATCCTCGTCCATGGTTCATCAGGAAGATAACACCGACACCGACAACAATAACAATAACAATAACAGGGGCCAGGAAAAGTCGGCTGCAGCTAACAAGGACCAATACGACATTAACTATCCCAGTCCCGATAACGAGCGTAACCAAATTCGGCCTGTGCCGCAACCCACAGCCGCCGTCACGACAGGGGATTATTCCTTTTCACCATCAACCCAAGACAACAACCAACACGACGACGTTTCTACCCCTTTAAACAACTTTTCCCTACCTCCGCCACCGTCTGCGGCTGCGACAACAGCCACGGCTATCGCCAACACGACCGTTGTCCGACCAACGCCCGAGAGCCCAAAGAGCCCAAAAACACAGCGATCGCGCAGCTCGACAGTAGCCCTCCAGCAGACTCCGCCGCCGAGAACATCCTCGACCGCCAGCATCCCCCTGAGCCACCCTACACCAGACACTAGCAAGCGATCGCGATCGGGTGCCTACGTCGGTAATATCGCTGCTCTCGAGGCCACCGCCGAACGATTTTCCTTGACCAGTTCAATTGAAGAGGCCATTCGAAACGAACACGACGAACTCAAACGCAGCGACAGTCGCCGATCGGCTATCCTCCAAGCGACTCGCCCGAAGAACAAGTCGCCAACATCAGACGCCGGATCATCCCCCAATCGACCGCGACTATCGACGAGCAGGACCAATTCCATTCGGGCATTGAACTCCGCGGCGCGCTTGGGAGGCTACTCGCCTGGAGGTTATGTTATGATGCCCAACCACTCTTTGTCGGGCGGCGCTCGCTCCGGAAGCAAGTCGGGATCTATTGGAGAGCTATCACCCAAGTCCCCTCCTGTCGAGGGTGCCAGTGCCCAGAACTCCGAGTTGATCCAAGCCGGTAATGGAGAAGAGTTCCCATTTGCTCGCCATGGACCAGGGAAGAGTTCGGTCAGGGAGGCGTCAAAGAGACTTTCTCTTGCACAGATCGCCGAGCTGGACCACCCAATGACCATTACCCAGGACGCCATTGACGAAGCAGACCGTGCTGCAGCCACCGGGGCGGGCCTTCAGGACGACGACGAAGCCATCGCAGCCCGTGCCCATCAGCAAATCGAGCCGCAGTATGCAGACGAGATGGATGACGTGGACCTCAATGGACCAAGCGACCCAGCACGACAGCCAATGCTCGATCACGGATTCTTCGACCAGCCCACTCCCCGGTTACAACTTCACCAACCCGTCGACTACCTGCCCTACGATGCCCATCGGCAATACGACGGTAGGCCACTTACCTCCGAGTCCCGCAACACCTTCCAACAAGCACACGACGCATTCGGTGATTTCGATGGCGTCCACTGCGATCCAGATGTAGATAACTTTGCCGGGCTCCCGCAGCCAGCAGAACCGGCTCCTCAGCCAAGGAAGCGTCGTGAGACATTGCAACCACGACCAAAGTCCTACTTTGACCCTTCCACCGGCCAGGAAATGCTTTACTACCCTGCGCCAGTTCCCGCGATGCTCAACCTGCCGCCCAAGCTGGGTAAGAACACTAACGCTGCTGGTGCCCGGAACATGCGTAGGTCTCAGGTCCTGAGTGTTATGCAGCAGTCATCAGTTTATGATGGAAGCCGAGACAACCTGCCAATGATGGCAGGCGGTGCGGGCGACGCACCACCTCAGCTACCTCAAATTGATGGCTTGCCGTTTGCGGAGGGACCGGCTGAGACAGGCGCATTCCCGGCGCAGCAGCCAGAGCGAGAAATTCGTCGACCGCAACGGTTGACCGAGACTGACAGGCGTAAGTCGCGCGCCACCATGCTCAACGGTCTTCCACCTCAGCTCCGCGCGAGTGCCTTTTTTGACTTGCCGACGGCTACTACTACGCCCCACATCGAGCTGAAGGATGGGTCTGCTACGGCGACTTTGGATACCATTTTGGATGCCTCGGCTACAGCACCCGTCAGCGCGTTTACAGACCACGCTTTCGCTGGAAAGCTGGGCCCCGAGGTGTATGGTGTTGAGAGGAAGAGGATCACGAAGTCGGTCACCGCTGATCAGCTTCCCATGGCTCCCGCTAAGACTCGCAAGAAGCTCGTCAAAAAGAATTCGAGCAGTAATCTGCTTGACGTCAAGGCCAACAAGGATAGTGATGAGGATGAGGGATGGACGAGCGTTGGTCTTGATGCCGATGATGCTGGCCCAAGCAGTCGGCGGCCTGCCGCGACCTCTGGCCAGCACACACCAAACCCCCAGGAGGAGGAAGAGGAGGAGGAATTAGTTGATGGGGAGCCGGTGTTTAACGGCCCGCCCACGACACTTCTCGCCGAGTTGCAGATGCGGAAGCAAAAGAACAAGATGATGATGCGCCCCGCTGCATCCATCAACCCCCACGGCTTACACGCCACTTTGCTCGAACTTAATGCCGTGGCCGAGGTGGAACGCAAGCAACGTATTCAGAAGCGTGTCAACCTTGCTTGGGAAGATCCTACTCAGAACTCTACACCCGAGTCCGAGGATGAAGACGTCCCTCTTGGCATGTTGTACGCGTCCAAGGCCGTGGGCGCCAAGGATCCTCACTCTACCGACATTGCCATCCTCATGAGCGAGGTTAACCGCCCTCTCGGCTTGATGGAGCGTCGTGAACTGGAAGAGAACGAGCCGCTCAGTCAACGCCGCAACAGGCTCAGGGGCAGCGAAAGTCAACCGCACATGTCGCTGAACCAGATGCAGAAGCGCATGTCCCACATGACCCTGACTCCCTTCGGAGGTCCCAACGCCCTCGGCAACCGCTCGCAATCCAGACTGACCCTGCCTTTGCAGCGCGGCTCTGCAAACGGTTCCGGACCTGTATCCGTGGCAGGAGGTCTCGAAGCAGAAGGCAGCGACGCCGAAGGCGAAGGTGAGACCCTCGCGGCTCGCAAGGCCCGTCTAGCTGCAGAGAACCCTCTCCCGCGCACTCGTCCCGTCAGCGCCGGCTTCTCTTCCGAACTCCTCAGCGAACTTGGCTTTGACGGCAACGAAGAGAACCGTCCCACATCCTCATCCAAGGACTCCAAGGGCAAAGCTCCAGCCTCCGACGTCCCCGAAGAAGAAGAGACCCTCGGCCAGCGGCGCAAGAGACTCCAAGCCGAGCGCGAGGCTCGCGAGCGGGAAATGGCCGCTGGTGCCCTCGCAGGCACCATTCCTCAACTCGCCGTTCCCCAAAACCAACTGCGCGACCGCCGTGACTCGGCGACTTTGATCCCCTTCGACCCCAACATGAACAACAGTAATTCCCGCCTCTCCAACATCATCCCCTTCGACCCCAATGCCGCCAACCACGCAAACAACGCCCGTCTCTCCCGCCGCCTTTCCTTGTCAGACGTCCTCAACTCTCACCCCGTCGACTCCGCCCTCGGCAACATCAACCCAGTCGAACAAGAACGTCTCCGCCGCGAAGCCGAAGGTCTCCGTCAACAGCGCGCGCAAGAAGCCAAGATGGCTGCCATCCGCGCGCAGATGCCGCAGCAGCTTGCTCAACCTGCTATCGGCGCGAGGACAGGCGGGTTTATGGGCGGGATGTATAACGGTGGCGGTGTCGGTAACCGTTCTAACCCTGCGCTTGGTCAGGGACTGGGAATCGGGTTCGATCCCAAGGCTAATGCTATTCAGCCCAGAGGACTGCTCGCGCAGCAGCAAGTTATGGAACGGCCGCTGGCTGCGGCCAGGAGGGCTAGTACTATGACTGTTGGTGCGCCTCAGTATGGTGCTGGCGCTGGTGTAAGTGCGCAGTATGGTATGGGTGGTGGTTATATCCAGCCGCCGCAGCAGTATGGTGCTTATGGGCAACCGGTTATGGCTCCCATGCAGATGCAGATGCCGATGGCCATGGGTATGCCAATGGGTGGTGCCGCTGCTTCTAGCTATGGTGCTTATGGCGGCGTGCCGATGCAGTTCCAGACGGGACATGGACAACAGATGATGGGACAGATGCCCATGGGACAGATGATGCCGCTGCCCAGACAGATGGGCATGGGAATGGTACAGCAGCCGGGGCCTGGAGGCGTCGATATGGTTGAGAGGTGGAGGCAGAGTGTTATGCCTTAGAGTCCCATTTTTCTTTTCGTTTTCAGGATCACAGTCCTTTTGGATAACTACATTACACATACATATATCGCATCATATTGGCCTGGTTGGGAAATGGGCATTGGAAGACAAAACTGTCGCTTCGTGCATATATACATACATACATACATACATTCATACATAGTATATAACTTTTCACCTTGCTGGCTGGCTGTCTCTAGCTGGCTTTGGCTTTCCTTATTGGCTTTTTGCCTTTTTGCCTTTTTTTTTTACCAAAGACCTTTGCTTCTCGGTAACATATCCTAGGAGCTAGCTAGCTGTCATTATTGCATATATTATTTGTTATGTAGTTTAGTTGTAGTGGTAGTGGTCAAGGTGGTTAAACTTGGTGGGTGGAAGGCAAGACATACGAGGAAGCGGAAGAAACGCGGTGTCATTATTTGCATATAGATAGATGGAAGAGGTTCGAGACACAACGAGCGGAGATGTAAGCGAGGAGAATAAAAGAAGATCACTGAAAATATGTACAAATGTGCTGAGAAGTGGTGCTGCTTGACGTGATACCAAGTGGATGTACAAACTGATGCTTAGCCCCATGAATTTCGAACACATTATGGGGTTACCCAACCATCAACCATACCAGAAGCTCAATCCTCGACAAGTAAACACCCACGAAAAGCATACATCGAGTAATTGTAAAGGAAGACATAAACGTCTTTGGGAAAAAAAAATTTGTGTGTTGAGCGTGAGAAGCGTCAATTGCTGTCTATGTCCATGGGCTTCATTTGGTGGCTTCTCCGTTACTTTCGTAGACTATTGAGAAAGACAGACATCGAGTTGCATTCTCAGAGGAGGGAATCAGGTTTGAAATTGAATGTTGATAAATATTTGTCAGTGTACAGCATCCAGAAGTCTGTGAGAATCATAAAAGTTAATATATACATGTTCTCTTGAATAATTCGACAGCAACATGAACCTTGACATTTTTGTACGTCTAAGTGTTTACTGAAGGGAAACTCTTGAAAACCTACCTACCCAACAAGAGAGTGAATGAACCTAAATTTGAAGTACAATGAGTAGAGTAAGTGATGTGGAAAAACACCGACAAATCTGGCCATGGGCAGTTTTGGGATATGATGATGTTTCTCGGTCTATTCACAGAATAATTACATGTAACGAGTCAAGGACGTTGAGCGTGAGGATCATCAAGTTGTGCGTTTCCTTGTTCTCCTTTGATGGTATGTAACACAGCTTTTACCTACTGTCGAATTTGACTGATGCAAGACATAATAATAGAACACGCACTTGAATACCAACAGAGTGGAACAAAACATGCCAGCGAGACTCCCAGGGTTCCGGAAACAACTAGACAGGACAACGAAAGGCAAGTAAACGTCTTTGGGCAATCTTGACATAATCTCTATTTTACCGAGTAACTGGTTCACCCAATAGTGACACTCAAAGTCCCCATTTTACTAAACCAGAATAAAAACAAAAACAAACACGAAACGATTAATAAACTCCTTAACCCCAAAGGATGCGAAAACCTGTACGGGATATGTGACCCCAGTTTAGGGACAGACAGCAATACACCCACACCCACACCCTGCTTTCTTTCTTTCTTTCACATCATCAACATCACCTCCACATCCCCCTCGCTCTAGCCACATTCAGGCGCCAGCGGTCCACCCGCTTAAGCTTTCCCCCTCCTCTTCCCACTCCCGGAACCGTCTCTGCTGAGGGGTTTCGGCTTGGTACTATTGCTCCTCTTCTCGTGATTGAGGTTGCTCTTGTTGTAGAGGCAGATCTTGGTGAGGTTGCTCTTGTTGAGGTTGTTCTGGCCGAGTTTGCGCTTGTTGTTGAGACTGGGTGGCGGGGGCACGACCGTCCTCTTCCTCGACCTTCTTAGCAGGAGGAGCCTTCATCATCCTCTTTGCTGCGAATTCCGATGACAATGACTTCTTCTCCACCTTGGCTGGCGGTGGCGCCAGGTCCTGGTCCTCCTCTTCCTCAGAGGAATTCTGCTACTTCCTCTTTGCGAATTTCAACGACGTCTTCTGCACCTTGGCTGGTGGCGCCTCCTCCTCATCATCCTCATCATCGTCCTCCTCATCCTCATCACCGCTCTCCTCAACATCATCGTGATCAACCTCGTCCTCGTCAAGACTCTCGGCATCATCAAACTCCTCATCGTCTTCCTCATCCTCATCATCATCATCACCCTCCTCCTCGTCCGACTCGCCATCGGCACCAACATCTATAAGCGCAAAGTCTTCCTCAGCACCGCCGTTAACAGCGGACTTGCTCTCATTGTCCTCATCACCCTCCACGTACACCACACCAGGCTCATCAACATCGTCCTCCTCTTCACTCTCCTCGCCATTCTCCTGCTCTTCCTTGCCACCGCCCTGTTTCATGAACTTCCTCCACCGCATCTGCTGATCCAACATATCCAGCTTTCCCTTGAGCGCCAAAAGCGCAGGCAGTCCACGCGCCCGCTCCTCCAGCACCCGGTTAAGCTCGCCCAGCCTGGCCACGACCTCGGGCTGCGCAACAAGCGACCCGCCGTGCGCGACGAGGGTGGTCTGGATCCACTTCATCAAACCGAAAGCACGACCAGGACGGCGGTGCATGCGAGCCGCGAGCTTGGAGAGCAAGACGCCCGCGAGAGCGGAGTCCATGCGCGTGATGGTGTTGGTGATGATCTTGGGGTCAGAGGTCTGCAGGCACGATTCGAGGAGGTCCGAATCGTCGGTGCGCAGGGCTTGGTTGAGCACGGTGCCGAGCGAGGTGGCGGAGATGGTGGTCTGGCCGTTGGCGCGCTGGACGGTGATAGTCTTGGCCTTGGAGGCATCGGCGGCGGCAGATTCTTGGGCGGCGAGGGCGGAGGCGACGTCGATGGTGGCGTTGCCACGGGCGAGGTCACCGAATGTGGGAGAGGCGTCGTCGTCGTCGTTCTCGGCGTCAGAAGCGGCTTCGTCTTGTTGAGTAGTAGCAGGCTCGGAGGTGTTCTTGGTGGTCTTCTCAACAGTAGCCTCGGCCTCGTTGTCGCTGTTCATGTCTTCATTGTCGGAGTCGGAGTAATGGCTGGAGGAGTCGCTGGAGATCTCAATGGTTTCGGGGGCGGCCTTGGTGGCAGACTTGAGTGCTGGGCCGGTCGAGACGGCCGTCCTTGTCTCGTCGATCTTGGACTTGGTTGCGACTTTGGCACTGGGCTTCACCACAGGCTTGACCAGGGCGAGCGCTTTCCTCTTGGTAGACATGGTTGGTAGTGGTTGTGTGTGTATGTGGATGGGGGTGGTGAGGTTGCCGTGAGGAAGGAAGGAGAGAGCGTCGAGAAGTCGAGGCTTGGATTGTCGCGTGGGAAAGAATCTCTTCCTTTTTCCTTATCGATTGAAAATTATATGGACCTGATAAAGGGTATCTGATGCCGCCAATTGGTCGGATGGATTATGATAAACGGTAGTGTTTATACCACAGCAATGGTAATTCTGTTTCGTCCTTGATAATGCGAGACGCAGAAATGCAAGATATTCGAGTGAATCCGGGAATTCAACTTCAGTTGCAGGGCAGGCTGGAATTGCCTGTTCAAAAGCTGTTCGAAAGCTGCTGCTGCTGCAAAAAAAATTGGGATCGCGGCCAAACTTTTTTTCAAGTGGAAGTCGCTGCAGTCCACCGGGTCCCTGCCACGGTCCCCCACTTTGTTGGAGTACAAGGTATCTTGGAGATTTCTTGGCACTGAATCTGCATAAGTGGTCCGTGCTGCTGCTGTTTCTTGCTCGTGACTTATCATGTGACAAAAGCCGCGACGCACAGTCCATCTGCTACGGTGAGTCAAGATCCTGTGTGGCTGCGTGGCTGTGCGTTACGGGAGCGGATTCCTGCGTGATTAATTTGCCCTTGAGGCTGCACAACACCGTGACGCTGATTGCGGCCAAGAGGGGGTCTGTTTCATTGGCCAGAGCTTCAACAGCACAACAGGAAAGTTTTTGAATCAAACCGTCTCGAACTCACTGTTGCCTTGTTGCTGCCTGTCTCATTCCTTCTAATCAACATCATTCCCCCCGTTGAAAACAGCACTTTCACACTTCAACACTTTCAAACCTCCAAGGATATCGTCGGAACTCACACCTCATCATCATTGCAGAGGGTGTTCCATCTGGTTCGATATGCGTCCTTCTGTCGCGGTGTGAGAGAAATGGAAGGTGAAATCGAGCTGGACACGCGACGGGCTGAACAGCAGCTACCCTTGCACCGAGAGTGGATTATGCCGCATACGGATTGGTCATTGTGGGCTTGTATTGAAGCCAGATCCCGGTCATCGATTTTGCGACCCTGTTGAACTCTCGGGCTTCTTTTTCGAGAAACAAAAACTGTTCGAGACAACGGAAATTCGACGACGAAGGAACGCCCGGAGGCTGCCACTGTGGAAAAGGAAGCGCGACATGGCCCAAAACGACAAGGCTCGCTTGTCCAAATAGCAATGCTACCTAGGTACGATGGGAAAGGGCTCGGCCGGTCTGATTTCGCACCCCCTCCCACGAACTCACCTTCCCGTCTTTTGCTTCTGCACTGCGACTTCCCCTCCGCACTCGCCTTCTCCGCCAAAACAAGAAATTCAAAAGGCATGCACTTGCACGTCAACATGGTCGGCCAAGTTCAACCTCGACAAGCGTTACGATGATCTTGGACCTGTTCATTCTCTTTTTCTTGGCTGCCTCTTCAACATCAGGTTTCATTTCGAGTGCAAAGAACTTCCTTACCTGCGGTCATCAAAATCATCGATCTCTTGGTGTAAGTCGTCGCGTCATTGTCGCGTACCCCGAATCCTGTCAGTCGTGGCATGCCGTTTGCAACCGAGTTGCAGTCGAGTGCAACAAACGTTTCACATATCGGAATGCCCCCCCGTCACAACACCCAGGTTCAGTCCCGTGGTTGTTCAAAGAGTCGGCCGTGGTTGCTACCGCAGGCTCCAATTGTCCAGCGATAAGAAAGATGCCTTTTTTCTTCATCGTCCCGTTGCCGTTGCCGTTTGGTTGTTTCGGTTGCTGCAATTTACTGGGTTCTCTCCGAAGACCTTTGACATCCATACGAAACCGAGGCAGGATGAGGCTGTGTGCTTTGTTGCTTGTCGACATCCATCTTCCTACTTCGCAAGATTTCCTTGACACTCATGACAATTTTCTTCCTTTTCTGAAGCATCAAGGCGACTGAGGACATCAAACCAGTCGTGTCCGGGCTGGCACTTGCACCGATGCAATATTCCCGACGCGAGTCTGTCCGAGCCCAACAAGTGTTGTTTGCGCCAGTGCTTGGACATCTTTGCATCCGAACAGATAACCTGACGAAGGGGGCCGGCGACTCTGTTGAGACGATGGAAAAAGAGAACGGCGCAATGAAGAGGATGAGGACAACTGGCTGATATATGTACCACGATGAAGAGATCAAAAGGCGTCCACGGCTTTCGTGATACGGACGCATGTTCTTGCAACTCCAAGAGTCCCTGGTGTCGATCGCGCACGACCCACAATGCAACAGAGTGGCCAACCAGACGCTCGAAAGCCGCCTCCACTGACCAAGGGAGCCAGTCAGAAGGCGGAGCCACCCGCAGGGCCTCGTTGCTGCTGGGGAGCTCGGACAGCTTTCATAAATAGCGTCGAGCTGCCGACTGGGACTGACATGTGTTCTCACCCCCGAATTTCTGTTAAAAAAGGGAGACTGCGACGCGCAACACAACAAGACACCCCCCCGCTGCCGACCATCCAGCCAATCAGCAACCACGAACAACATAGAAGCCACGACCCCCCCTCACAGGCTGCCTGACTCTGACGCGACGCCAGCCCGCTTCTCCCCATCCCCCTCCCATTGTTTCTTGTGACTTGTACAAGAGAACCTGCGAATCCCTCCGTCCAAAAGTTCCAACCCTTGACTAAAAAATATCTTTTTTGCTGTTGCCCGCCCAACCAGCACAGCCAACCAGCCCAGTCCAGCCACACCTTCAAAATCAGCGGCCTGCATCACTGCACTCCAGCCCTCGACCGTCTGATTTCACGACGTTTTTCCACCCCCGACATCGTCATCGCACACTTTCCAACGCAAGGCTGAAGGCCCACATCCGGATTTGATCTTACTCAGCCTCGAGTCCCCCTGCACTACGCAACTTCGCAAACTCGTGAGTGGTGGCCACCTTTTTATTTTTATTTTCTTTCCCCCTTCTTTTCCGCTTTTCTTCCCCCCTCATCCCCCGATCTGACCCGACCGACCGACGCGTGTGCACGTACCACCACTCGCGCCTCTCGCAACCCCAACCCTCGCGCAACTCCCGACTTTCGAGCGCTCCCACTCCACCTCAATTGTCGTCGTCGCGCGCCGCATCGCGAGCGCCACTATTCGCAGCCGCATTCAGGTCGCAATTGCGTGCACTTGCGGCGGTTTACCAGCTGTTGTCGTGTCACACACAACACTGCACTGCATCCACAACTGCACTCGTGCGATAGCACCACAACATCCATTTGATAAACTTATATACCAACTCTGGCTACCGAATCAACTACTTTTGCATCAAAGTGCACGGCGTTCGCTGACACGATTTCTTCAGTTGTTTTGATGCCCCAAATCCTTGCTTAGATACCCCCCCTTTTCAGTTGCGCGCACCACACAGACTCAAAGCATATCCACGTGGATATCCTTTCATCTCGTCTTCTAGCTCTCTTTTCAATCTTACTGTATGGCAGTTATGACAAGCCAACAAGCTGACGGTGTCGCGGGTCTCCCCGAGAAGCCCGTCGTCACCATGGCTACTGAGGCTTCTTCTACTACCACTCCAGATGCGCCTGTAGCGGAGGCGCCCAAGAGTGATGCTGCTGCTGCTGCTCCTGCTACTGCTGATGCTGTTGCGGCACCAACCCCTGATGCGCCAGTGAAGGATGTTGCAAACGGTGATCAAAAAGAAACAGAAGTGAATGGGTGAGTTACATTACCTGCCAGTTACCTTACTGTACCTACCGATCTTGTCTCAGATCCCTTTCACCTGAAGATGACGCATTCACTTGCGCCGCTTCGCCACCCATCAAACCTTATATCCCGCCAACCCCTCCAAACCTGAACCTTGAACGCTAATTTCTTCCCGTAGTCACGACGAAGAGGTCTCCCCTAAAACTCTCGTGCCAGAAACCAAAACCGATAGTCTCCCCACTCCTAAAGACGAACCTTTGGAAGAAGCACAGGCCACTCCAGCAAAGAAGGAAGGAGACGCCCCCAAAGCAGAAGAGTCAAAGGAAGGTGAGGCGAAGAGTGACGAGAAGGCCCAAAAAGAGGAAGAAAAGCCCGCTCCAGTAGAAGAGGAAAAGAAGGCCGAGGAACCAGCAGAGCCAGAGGAGGAAAAGGTCGAGGGCGACAAGATGGAGATTGATGCGCCAGAGCCACCGGCGGGTGATGCGCCCAAGGAGTCGATTGCATCGCCTGCAGAGGACAAGGCTCCTGAACCGGCCGCCGAAGAACAGAGCAAGGAAGAGAAGCCTGCTGCTGCCGAGGAGGCCAAGGAGGACAAGCCTGCCGAACCAAAAGCTGACGTAGCCACGGAAGCGAAAGCGGATGAAGCCAAGGAACAGAAAGCAGACGAAGCGAAGGATGTGGCCCCTGCTCCTTCCGCAACTGAAACCCCCACCACTGAGCCCGCGCCAAAACCTCCCGCGTCTCCTGCAAAACAACAAGAAGACGTGGAGATGACTGATGCGCCTGCGACCGTTGAGGAGCCCGCCAAAACAGAAGAGTCGAAGCCCGCCGAGGCGACACCCACAGCGACTCAACAGGAGACGCAAGACACTACTGTCAGTGACGTACCGCCCCCCACACCAGCTGGCGAAGAGGCGAAGGAGGACAAGGACGCGCCTCAGCCATCCCCTGCCGCTCCCGTTACCGCAGACACGAGCATGTCGGACGCGCCCCCGTCATCATCCAAGCCCTACAGGGAGCGCGAGGAAGACAGCGAAGATGAGCCCGTCGCCAAACGCGCAAAGGTGTCCCCTGCCGCAGACCAGGCCAGCGTTAAGAGCGAGGCCAAGAGAGAGGACAAGATGGACGTCGACAGTAAGCCAGCCGCGTCATCTGCCATCCACTCCGGCCCCCGCCAGGAACGAACCCAAGTCGCTGGCGGATGACTCGATCAACCACTTGCCCATCTCGGACTACATGAACCGCCAGATTCGTATGGTGTTGGCTGGCGTCAAGAAGACCAAAGCGGGCTATCACTTCCGTCTCCCCGTGTCCGAGCTCTGGCCTGGCCTGTGGAATGAGTACTCGGCCAAGGTTAAGGACCCGGTCGACATTCAGACCATGGAGAGGCGGCTCCGCGGGACCCTGACTAAGTATCAGACCCTAGGAGACTTTAAGCGTGATCTGGACAAGCTGGTGCAAAACTCCATCACCTTCAACGGCGAGTTTCACGACGTTACTGGTGCGGCTCGGTCGTGTCGCGATACTATCTTGTCTCGACTAGGTACTTGCCCAGCATTTGAGCCGTCGAGGCCCGAGAAGAAGGACGTTGCGAAGCAGCACACGACCCGTCATGCGGAACCGAGATCGGCTACTCACCACTCTTCTCCCCCGGCGCATCTTCCCCAGCGCCCTCAACAGCCTCGCGTCAACACCGCGGCGGTGCCCACCCCCTCGTCCTCAAAGCCCATCGAGTCTCCTGCTTTCGCCATCCCTGCCAACAACAATGGCATGCCCCTCATCCGTCGGGATTCCACCAAGCCTGACAGCCGTGCCAAGCGCCCCGTGAAGCCTACTCATTCCAAGGACCTTGTCTATGACACTAAGCGCAAGAAGAAGCTCAGCCCTGAACTCCGTTTCTGCGAAGAGGTGCTCACTGAACTCCGCAAGCAGAGATATTACGAGTTCAACGAGGCCTTCCAGAAGCCTGTCGACCCTGTTGCCCTTAACATCCCCACCTACCACAAGATCATCAAGAAGCCGATGGACTTGTCGACGATGCAGAGCAAGCTCAACGCGGGCGACTACGCCAACTCCAAGGAGTTTGAGCGCGACTTTGACCTTATCATCAAGAACTGTAGGCTTTTCAACGGCGAGCAGCATATTGTATATGACCAGGCCCTGCGACTGCAAAGTCTTTACCGCCGTGAAATGTCTAAGAAAGACGAGTGGTTGGCTAAGCATGCTCCTCCTCCTGCGGCTCATCATTCATCGAACACTAGTCCTAGGATGAAGGACGAGTCAGACTGGGACGAGCCCGAATCTGAAGGTGAGCCAGAGGTGGATGAGGAGCTTAAGGGGGCCCAACAACGTCTGGCGAGCTACATGAAGCGTTTGGAGGAGGAGCAGAAGAAGATCAACGACATCATGCTCGAGATGAACCCTAACATGGCTGACGTTGAGATCGCTCAGTCTGTCGTCGCCATGCTTCAGAAGCAGATCATCACTGAGAGGTCTAAGATCGCCTCCATGCAGCCGACGAAGAAGGCTGCGCCTGCGAAGCCGCACCATGCCAAGCCTGCGGCCAGCAAGCCCAAGAAGGCCATGCCGTCCGGTGGCAGCAGCTCTCACCACACTGGTGGTGGCAATGTTGCCAAGAAGACTGGCGGTGGCCATTCGAGCATGGGCGGTGGTCATGGAGGCGGTATGGGAGGTATGCCCAAGAAGGCGGCGGCTCGGAAGCCCGCACCCAAGCGCAAGATGGGCACGGTCGAGAAGGAGGTTATTGCGGCCGGTATTGCTGAGCTGGAAGGCTCCCAACTTGAACGTGCCATTCAGATTATCAAGGATGACACCGGCACGGGCGAGAACGACTCGGGCGAATTGGAGTTGGATATAGACCAGCTGTCCCAAGAAGCCCTGACTCAGCTCTATGATCTTGCCATCAAGGCGTTCCCCCACCTGCAAAGGGAAAAGGAACGCACCATGGCGGCCCAGGCGGCGCCTCCTCCCCCACCTGCCCCGCAAAGGTCTAAACCGGTACAGAAGACTAAGAAGAACAAGCCGATGAGCAAGATGGAACAGGAGCGCAGACTCCAACAGTTGAACGAGCTTCGCGCCCAGGCCGGCCGCCAAGGCTCCGGTAGTCAAGAGCCTATGGAGTCGATCGAGGGTACGGGAAGGGCTTCTGTTGATCCTGCTCCGCAGCACCATCGCGAGGAAGACAGCGAGGATGAGGAGAGCTCCGAGGAGGAGTAAGAGGGTTCGTCGCGTCCACTTGGTCTGCTTGCCCTCTACCTCCAGTCCCACTCAGATGAGGTCCGTCCGATGTGCTATTCTTCTTGCTCGACTCGACATCCATACTTTATGGATAACATGTATGTGCCATCATGCCATGCTCTCTCGCCTATCTTACTTCAGCTTGTTCAGGCAGACATTTTCTCTGGGTGGGCACTACTTACCTCATGGCTTGCCGACGATTTGCGTGGCTTTTCCAAGTTTAAAGGGCAACATTGAGACCTATACCTCGATATTTTGACCGTTCGGGTTTGGCACCCCGTGTGAGTCATCATCGTCTCTCTTTCGCTCTCCCTTTCCATAGCAAAATCAGTTAGTATCGTATTTTACCAGCGGCCGCCGCATTTGTGTGTGTGTGTCCGCTTGGAACTAGCAAAGAATAGTGGCAGCTTGTGGTTTATCGTTCGTCTCTCCGTTGGGGATACAGAGAGGACGAATGAACCAATAGCGCTAGCCCACTTGTTCTTTGCTTCGCTTGCTTTTTTCCAAACTCATAACAACAACATGAGGTAGCGGATGATGAGAATGATGATGGAAGATGGAAGGAAGGCGTTGCCTGGGGCAAAAAAACAAAGATAAAATAATAGGAGGAATTTGCAAGGAAACGGAGTTTTTTCTGCTGCGTTATGCGTGTTTGCTTGCTTGGTGATGATGATGATGGGCATGATTCGCGATGAGGTTGCTTTTTCTGACTGTCGGTCTTTTGCTTTGCTTCGCGCCTTGCGCTTTTAGCAAGATGGACGAGATGGGAATTGAGAATGCATGATGGATGACTTGGGGAGTTATGGTAGTAGGTTAGACAATGGGATGATTCTTACTTACCTCGTGAATTGGACTCGAGATTTCGGTGTCTGTCGGTGATCGTGACTCATGAGTTGTTGACCATTATTTGTGTGTTGGCTCTCGCTTCGCATGCTGGCTTTCCAAAAGATATCACCTTGGTGATATCGTTGACAGTGTCTTCGCTGCAGTGCTTCTTAGATTATGTTCGCGATAGGACTCGAGCTCCCGATGGTTTTTGTCGCTGATCGTGACTCAGGATGCCGTTAGTCATGGTGGTGTAGGAATGTGACGTGGATCATAACGTCGATGTCGTTGATGGATATCGCTGCCAGCCATGTGTCGATCGACACTCGCCCTCATTGCCGTCGCTTGAGGCTCGTTCCGTTCTTCTCGTCTCGGGCTCGGGTCGTACGTATCTCTTGAACGCCAAAAATACTTCCGGTTCAGAAATAGCTGGCGCAAAAGGTCATGGCATGGTCTTCCTAAAAGCTTTTCATCGGCTTCAAACCTTTTCGTCTTTTCGCCTCCGACTAGCCAAGCCACTCGGTGGATTCGGTCAGATAAGGGCGAAGAGCAGGTGGACCATGACGACTTCGAGCCATGTGCGCTTGTGGATCAGCTGCCCTGACTAGGGATGTCCGGCTACATGAGGATCGATGTTTGATATCCGAGTATGATGTTTCGGCCGCCTGGTCGGCGATGACGGCAAGGTCGGGTAGCAACAGAGAGGGTTGCTTTAGCTTCGAGGCGGTGAAATACCTGTGAATAAGTAGCGCGGGCGTGTGACGGGTTGTCTTCCTTGTCTTGATATGATGTTGGGTTGTGAAACGTAAACGACGTTGGCGACGACTGGTTGTAGGCGGCTTTGTGTTTCGGCCTTGTAGAACCGTCGGGTCTAGAGTAGGAGTCTCAAGGCGGAAGACGTCGAACTTGGACTCAATTGTCCATCTTGACTGATCTTTGTGTCTTGGGCTGTGACTAACTCCCATGTTCTGAGGTGAGCTGGCGAAGAGGGCTATGGTTGGGATGAATTATAGCATGGGGCGGGGAGTCGTGGGTGACTCGTGGAAGACTTGTGGGCCACACGCCCTGGGGTAACGAGGGGAGCAGTGGGTTGGTTGCAGGAACCCCGCTGTATTAACAGCGGCTCGTGACAGTGACGTCCGGATACTTGCCAGGCCTCTGACGAGCGCCATTTGCGCCAACGAGGGTTGTGGGATGTCAAACCACTCCGTGTAATTTTGTGATTGTGTCTTTGGCGGCTTTGTGCCCTAGCGAAAGCGTAATTCCGAAGTGTCGAAGATATCTTGTCATTCGAGGGACAGCGACCCGAGGCGCCCATACCTTTAAGAGGAGCGGACAAAACCAGAGGCAGGGCGATCATTGGGATATCCTCCGTCTCAGGACATGATGTCATCTCGATAGGCATCGACGGTCAAACCCTGCTAGGAGAGCTTCGATGTCAGCTTCTTTTATTTTATCATGCGCATTTGAACAATGAGGTGTCGTCAGGATACTCACCGTCGCTCTTGCTCCAGACCGGTACTTGTCATCAGGACGGCCATCGAGGTTCTTGCGCAGAACGGAGAAGCTGTCGAGGCAATAGCAGAATTGAGGAACAGTAATGATAGGAATTAATGGTTTCAAACCAATGAAGAATCAATTTATGGGTAACAGAGTCAAAAAGGTTTCCTGTTGCCAAAACGAGGGAGGATGGATTGTTGGTTGTTTTGTGGTTCGTTGTTGGTCGGTTGGCGGCGAATCCAGTCTGTGTTTTGGGTTGGTTTTGGGGTTTTGCGGGGGTGCCAGCGGCGGGAGGAAGGCGGCACCGTAACGCTTTCAGCCTTCAGCGGAGGGGTGGCCAGCCCACAGCGCAATCGACCGAGTTTGTGGTAGGTTTTAGGGCTTCACAAGGAACTTATCACCCACCACCTGGGCTGTTTAAGTGGAATATATGGGCCGACTGTCTTGTCACACCATGATCACCAAACCTTCATTACCCTCGCAACCCATTCTTCAGACCACCGCTTAAGGAAGCCATTCACCTGTTCTGCCACAGTTCAGATGGATACCTCGCGGACAATGAGCTGGGCTCGAGTCCCATTGTTTGTTCAGTTGCCCGACTCGGGATATCAAAAAGACGCTGAGTGCCTTCACTGGCCATCTCGGCATCCATCTCGTGGAACTGTCGTGGGAAGGCCCAGGGCATCGCTCACGATCACACCAGCCACCTGATGTCTTGACCACTGACTATGGGCATTTTTTAAACTTACCTAGGTATACTGACCTTGGTGATAATGGTGGCCACGTTGACGGAGACGATGATGGCCTTCGGCACATTGTGCGGCTCTCGATGGACTCTGGACGGCAATATGCATCATTACAGGCAAATTGTACAATGCATGGGATATTCAACATCTATGACGGCATTGTTCCACCGTCAATGTCGTTCTTGGTGACATAAAGGGAAAGTAGCTGGTTTGCTGTTTCCATGTTTACGTTCTTCGTCAAGTAACCGGACAGATACAAGACTCGTCGACCACCATTGTACTCGACATCAACGTGGTCGACACGGCTTCATCTTCCTCCGAACAGCTAACTACCAACGTAGACCATATAGATCACATACAAACAGACAGTCAAACAGTATCTCCATTACCACCATGCTTGGCAAGATCCTCCTCACCATCGATTCTCTCTTCCTCCTCTTCGCTACCCCGGCGGCCGACTACAGCGAAACCCACATCTTTAACCCGGCCTGGAAGCCCCATGCAAAGTATGTACCCTTCCCATCGGTTATCGTACAATGTTGAGTCCCGTACTAAAGCAGCCTCGGCAGGTTTCACTGTGGCCAGACTATCACCATCTCCGTCGTCATGGGTCTGGCTACCCTCTTCTACACCTGGTTTCCTTCCGGCCGTATTTCAAAATCAGGTCCGGTCCCCATACCAGCCATACTGGCCGAGAGACGTGAGCGGATGAAGGAATCTTTCCGAACGGCTGGGTTCCTCGGAAGTGTCTACTGGTTGGCAGGTGTGGCAGCAATCCTGTATCCCAACACTGCAGGAACCGATCCTGAGTTCGGCAAGATCACCGACTTTCCTCAGGGAAAGCTGTTCCCGACATTGGCTGCTTTAGCCATCTTGGGGGCATGGCTCGAGACGAGGCGTCTTAACAGGCTCCAGGCGTGAGTGGAAGATGAACACTGCGAGGCTGAAGACTTGGGAAACAGAGGGTGACGAAGCCCGCGTTTCAGGTCTCCTGATGGAAAACAGATTCAGTATGGCACTGCGTCTAGCCGGCTGCTGTGCATACATGGTGCTCTCATCCATGCGGAGATCACTTACGTGGCCTTCACCCTGGCGAACGAGACATGACGCGTCCGGGCGGCGCCGGTGTGGCTTTGAAGGGGGTTCGGAAATAGGAGGGCCACGGGGGTATGGATCCGCTCTCGAATAGTCCATTTACGGAAACTTGACTCGTGCTTGGGACGGTGCGTTGTATGTGCCTACTTTTACTCAGATTCTCGCCGGTAACATTCGATTCGTCATGAATGCATTTTCCATTCTCTCTGGCTTGTTCTTTCTCGAACGACTAAACCACAGCGGAGTTCATCACCGCTAGCCCCCGGATCTATGCCTATTTTCAGGCCCTTGGCAACCGTTGAAGCCCCGTTAGTTACCCCTGAAGTTCCGTCTTGGCAGCGACTGGGCACCGGCCTTTCCCCCGGAGCACTGATCCAGACCCGGACCTTTACGTCACAGACACTCTGATCTCACGGTCGTTTCAACCCAACTCTCAGGGCAGGTACCGAGTGAGTCGTCCCATTCAAGGCTAGACTTGAGCGGAACACGCTTAACATCTCCAGCAGAACTCCATCTGATTGTCTACTTCCCAACAACTTACCCCTCCGGCACCTCTCGTTCTGGATCGAAGATCAACAGCATCTCTCTTGTCGCACTATACCCCAAGCTGGTCCCTCGTATTGACATCACCATCGCTCTCTGTGTCTGGTTGCGCCATTCATACCTATCAACTACTCTTGCGTCAAGTCCACTGTATACAATAGCGCACCACGACTGCGACTCCTCGAGGACACTCTGCAATCACTTCTCCGTCAACCCAAATCGCCCATTAACGGCATGGTCCTTCATGGCCAGCCCACCGGCACAATGAAGCCATGCGACTTTCACACGTTCGTATCCTTCTTTTCGGCGCGAATGTTGCACAGAGGACCGAGAGTCCTACTGCAACTCATCATCGGTTCAACCATGATCTTCGCCACTTTACTCGTCATTAGACGGGGTTTTGGCGAGGACTTATCTTCAACCGATCTCTTCCGATGGTCTGAGAACAAAAGCGAAGATATGAAGGACGAAAATGTACATTACGAGTTCCAGTCGCAACAATACCCCAGCGGACTGCGAGTGGTCGTCTTTGGAGAGGACGATGTAGCGACTCCCGCTTGGACACGGGGAGAGAAGGAGATGCGGTCTCCCGGTTGGACGGAAGTTATGTGTCGGGAGGTTAGTCTGTTATCAACTCCTGGTGTGACTGTTGTTGCGTGCTAACTTAACCTTTCCAGCTAAAATGCTCCCACTACCTCTCCTTCATACCTCCTAACATCCACCCGCCGGCCCATTCCCTCATCTCGAACGATATCTACGTTGAAGCCGTCAGACAGACGATCAAGAACACGACAAAACTGAAGAAGACCCAAGGTCCAGGCTACGATTACACCTTTCAACCTCGACTGTTCCCCGTATCCAAAGCGTTGCCGGACCTGAGCGCCCAAATAACAACCTTCCTCGAGTTACAAAACTCAACTACCTTTCCCAAAGCAAATGAAACGCTCTGGGTCTTCAACTTCGGCCAATGGGATATCTGGTCCCTAGCCACTCTCCCCGTCGCTACCGGAAAGGCCGTCATTGACCAGCTAACCGACCACGTCATCGAGCAAATAGAGCGTCTTTACGAGAGCACTCTACAGAATAACACGACGGTTATCTTGTCCAGCAACCCTAAACTTCTCCCGCGCAAGACCAAGACCAAGACCGGCCCAATGAAGATCATCGACCCCGAAGTTTATAAAGCCAAGTCCACCGCTGCAGCTGGCGTGGCTGTCTCCAACTTGGCAAAAGCAAAGACAGCCAAAGCTAAGCCTGATACCTTCCGCGTATTCTTCCCTGCGCTGTTCGACATCTCCATGACGCCCGGCTGGAGCTCCAACCGTCCGGAAACTCCAGCTCCGCATTCGAAAGCCGAGCAGATGCGCAATGCCGCGAAGCTGACCGAGACGTGGAACCAGGTTATGGGTGATAAACTGTACATTTGGGCGGAGAGGTCGGATGATATCGGGTTGGAGGATCTCTACCTTAACCCTGACGCGGACACAAATGAAGTCGGGACACTTGATGGTAGGAGTGCAAGCGTAAACAGTGTCGGGAAGCGAAACCCTACAGGTCTAGCGGAAGAAGGCAAGCCAGGAAGCGGGGAAAATCGTCAACCAGAGCCGAAAAACGAAGCCCAAACAGCCGAAGCCCCCCATCCGTGTACTTCATAACCTACGACATGGTCAGCTACCTCACTTCGGCCCTGATAGAAGGGCAACTGCGCAGCTCTGGGCTCAGCGATGGGAATGGACTGGGGCAGAAGCCGATGAGTAAATGGTATAAGCAGGTGTGGGAACCTTGTGTTAAGCCGGTTAGGTCCGAAGATGAGATGGTGATGGATTTGGAGGAGGAGGGTGTTTTGCAGCTGTCGAGTTCAAATTCGTCGGAGACTACGGAGGAAAGTCGGGTTGGTCAGGGTGTGAAGGCTGGTGCTGCTGCTGGTGGTGGTGGTGGTGCTCGTGATCAGAAAAAGGCAGCTGGTCAGGGTAAGGCAGCTGGTCAGGATCAGGGTCAAGGTAGTGGTAACGCAGCTGGTCATAACAAATCAGGTGGTCAAGGCAAGGCAGCATGGGTAGGAGCAGGCAAGAGGATCAAGAGAAATGTAGAGGCTGAGAAGGGGGAAGAGACAGTGACGGTCTGTAACTTCCCGGATGATTACCTTTTCTATACCCCTTTTACTTTGGGGGGAAGAGCCATTAGGGAGATTGCAAAGGAGGCGGTGGACAAGGTAAGGAGGGGAGAATCGTTTAGGCAGATGGAGGGGACGGAGGAGGGGCTTTGGGCTGGTGTGACAGGCCATATCTAAGTAAATGTGTCGGTTCGTCAGATTGAAAACGATGGACTATTGCAAGACGTTGCTGTAGGCTAATCCATAATCCTGTTTTTGTTTTGTTTTTGTTTTGTTTTTGACAAGCCTCGTTTTCGTTGCAAGATGTTGTTGATATTGATATTACAGTCATGGTGCCGTTAAACCCGGACAATCACCGACCACCGACCAACAAGCCATTGGCCAAGACCGATGGCGTCGTCGGCGTGGCTTAGGATGCCCGACCAACCGGACCGACCAACCGATTCGGGGAGAGACCCAGGGTTCGACGAATGGCGTCATATGAAGGATTTCGCCGATATCTAGGGTTAGCAGTGGTGAAAATGGTGATTGCCGGTTCGGCTCCGAGCGGAGTAAGAAATATCCAGATGTGATTTTCAACGACGACGTTGAGTCAACCTTAGATTCAGCCTTGTTTGACTTGGATATATACCTCGTTGTCGATGTTGCTACACGGACTATGAGTAGACTTCAGTTCTGCTTCATCATATTTCTGTATCACATTGTTGAGTCGACACAGATTACTTCCTCTTCTGGCTTTCGGTGCATCGCGACATCCATCTCTTCAGTCGTCACTTCATCCACCTGGGTCACGCGACCAAGCCGGGTACGACACCCAAACATAACATCAACATTACCTCAACGTCAACAATCAACAACATCAACAACTCACCGTGTCACCACCGCCACCCTCAACAAGCATCCCAAAGCCTCCAACCAATTTCAAAAAAAAAAAAAAAAAAAAAGACAAACCCTTCACCATGCCACCGCCAGACGACCCCTCCACTTCCCGCCTTTCCTCTCCATATAGAGGTACCGAAATGACAACCCGCAACCAACGTCTACTCGCCCTAACAGGCCTCCCCTCCCTGCTCTCCACACCCCACGATGCCCTCCTGATAATCCTCAACCGAACAACCCGCATGCTCTCCTACGGCGCCTCCTCTCTCATCCTCGCCCTCTTTTTTTCCAGCCTCAATTTCTCCGACAGCCAAATTGGTCTTTTCATGACTCTCACCTTGTTAGGGGACGTAGTTCTGTCTTTGTTGCTCACACTGGTTGCGGACCGTTTGGGTCGACGGAGGACGTTACTTATCGGGGCGGTGATGATGATCTGCTCGGGGATAGTCTTTGCGACATGCGAGAATTACTTTGTTCTCCTAGGCGCGGCCGTGGTCGGGGTTATTTCTGCAACGGGCGGCGACTTTGGGCCGTTTCGCGCGATTGAGGAGTCAATGGTTAGTGAGTTAACCAGACCGGAGACCAGGGCCGAGGTGTTGGGGTGGTATGTTGCTATGAGCAGTGCCGGCAGCTGCGCGGGCACGGCGGTGGCGGGACGTGTGGTGCAGTTTTTGATGGAACGAAGAGGGTGGGAGGGAAAGCAGGCGTATCATGCGGTTTTTTGGGGGTATGTGGCTATGGGCGTTGTGAACGTTTTGGGGGTTTGGGGGATGAGCGAGAAGTGTGAACTTGGTGGTAGACGGGGGAACAAAATGGGAGGGCAAGGGAGGGGGTTGAGGGAACCGGTGCAGGTGTTGGAGCCGGAGACGGATGCGACGAGGGAGACTGAGCCTTTGCTTGCGGCAGCTGTGGAGGCTGGGTCGTCGCGAGCTGCTGTGGAGAGAGAGGAAAGTGAGGAGGAAGAGGAACCAAAGAAGCAGCAAAAGGGTTGGTACAAGGTGGAGATTTCAAAATCGGCACTTTCAGTCATGCTCGTCCTCTGGGTGTTGTTAATGGTCGACTGTGTCGCCGACGGCATGGTCTCCATGTCCCTAACGACCTACTACATGGACCAAAAATTCCACTTACCCAAGTCGACCCTCGGCGATTTCTTATCAGTCGCTTACTTCCTCGCCGCGCTCTCATCCGTCTTCGCGGGCCCCATGGCACGACACATCGGTCTTGTCAACACCATGGTCTTCACGCACATCCCTTCTTCAGCCGCGGTGTTGCTCTTTCCTTTGCCCAAGAGCGTCACGGCGACGTTTGCGCTCCTGCTGGTTAGGGTTGGCTTGAATAACATGGATCAAGCGCCGAGGGCGGCGTTGATTGCTGCGGTTGTTAAGCCCGAGGAGAGGACAGCGGTGATGGGAATTACCGGCACGCTGAGGACGTTGGCGTCGACGATGGGACCGAGTATCACGGGCGTGTTGGCTGATGGGGGAAGGTTCTGGGTGGCGTTTGTGGTGGCGGGTGCGTTGAGGTTGACGTATGATTTGGGGATTTTTACCATGTTTATTAACATTAAGTTGAATAAGCATGAGGAGGTGGAGGGGGAGGAGCGGGTTGCGAGGGATGAGGATGAGGAGGATGAGGTTGAACGGAGGAGAGTGTGATATACATGGCTTTCTGAATGTGACAGGGCATTCTGACGGCATAGAAACTTGAATAACCCGAGGAGGGTTGAACAGCATTTAGACTATCCAGAAATTCAGCCCTTGTAGTAGGGATTATATGTATTACTTCCTCTGTGGGTTGTTCCGTGGCAAGCTGGTGGGATGGCGTAACGGATAAAGGGATAAGTTTCACATACGCTGTCCTTTCCACCAACCCAACCCAACCCAAACCCCCTCCCCCCGGGCCCCCGGCTCCCATTCTCGTACACGTTACGACCTCAAACCCGGAGAGTTGTAACTCTACTTTTTCTTTTTTTCTCTTTATTCTTATTTTTTTTTGGCACATTCTTAGGGCGTTATAGTCAGTCAGTGTTATATGCGCTCGATCACTGGCGAGTTTGCTTGCAAATTGCGCGACAGGATCAAACAGGTATGTATGGGCTGACACGACCGCGGTTGAATGAAGGCCGTCGTGACTGTTGAAGTTGCCTGGGAATAACAGTAAAGCAATACCTAGGTCTAGCTAACTATCCGCCCGAGCAGTAAACAAGATCATAATGCGGAGAAAGATCTTATCCCATTAACTGTCATCTGCACATGCCATGCATCGCAATACCGACAGGCGGGTAACAGACGGGACTGTCGTCCTACTGTAGGTATGTACATAAATGCAAGGGGCTTTGGGTGACGGGCTAATGTTGACGGAAGGCGCAGAATCTGGGAGAGAGCATTGCAAATGGGTGGACAAGAGAAATATATTGATGGGCGACCGACCAAAAGAAGATAGACGACATCCGCAAAACGAGTGGTTAGGGAGTATATTGAAGCGGCTAATTGAGGACATGCGAAGGAGATAGTGGAACGAGGTGAACGGTAAAACAATAACATGAATGAAGGGAGTCATTCTATAAAGGAAAGGGTTATGAAGCGGAAGAGTGCTTGAGCACCAAAGAACTTTTCGTGAATGCCATTCGTCCCGCCCCAAGACAGACCACGCCCCGGTCTTTCCGTCCCCGAATGCAGACGGGCTGTGAGAGCTTCAGATAATCTTGAAAGGTGGAATCCCATCTAACTCGCGCTCCAATACAGGCGGTATCCCCCCCTCCTCGCGAGGCCTACTGTTGAGATAGAAACGTTTGCATAAGCTCACGGGCGTCCAGGAAATTCGCCAGTAGCCTAAGCGCCTATAGACAACCATACCTGAATCTGAATCGAAACCGCAAGATGTCAAGATAATGCCAACCAAGCTGCCACGCAAGTCACAACAAAGAGGCAACACTTCCAAATTGCCCAGCTGGGTCGACTGCATGATCGGACGATCAAGCATAATATTGACGTCGTAGAAGAGTTGCTCGCTGACATTGTCCGGGTCTGGAAAATAGCCCCGAATGTCGAAGGAATGGTCGGACTTTCCGAGCTCGAGGATCGGCTTCGTATCAAACCAATTGATGAATTTGCCTTGTATTGTGATACCCGTGAGTGCTTTCTGATCTGAGCTTGAGGCATTGCTCTCCAGAAACACCTCCGAAATGCATTCATCGCGGGAGGGGATGTATGGCAGGGCAGCATTGCCGGTTTGAACTGGAATAGATCCGAACTTTGCTAGGAATGCCCCAACCCCGATGGAATCGATCTCGAATTTCTCGGTGCAATCTGCCCAGGACCAGGAAGGAGAGCGCTCACTAAGATAACAAGCCATGTCATTGTCATCAGATGTGTGCCATTTGTGATGGCTACGTCTCTCCCACCATAGCTGACTGCAGTCAGACAGCCATACGCCGGCTACGTAGAATCTCGCTGGATCTAGGTTGAGATGCTGTCCAAGTCGGTTGGCGATCCCCTGCAATGCCGGTAACTTGTCATGTGGCTCGGTTAAATCCATGTTGCTGAAGGTGTTCAGAAGTCTCAACCACAACTTGGAAAACTTTGTGATCAACTCCGCTGTCAGTGCCGAGACCAAGATAGTAGGTTCTGCCAAGGCTTTCTTCACATAGACCTGATAGCGTGGATTGGGCACTGGAGAGCTCTCGATAGCCGTGCCAGCGTAACATTCCCAGACAAGCTGTGTGCTGCAGTGTAGGGTTCGAGTGGACAGTATTCTTTCTTGAAACGTCCATCCCCTTTTATAAAGGGGAAAGAAATCTACGAGAGACGGGTTGCGAAATTCCTCCAAGAGGACCCGGTTATCTCCAGATGGGTGGCTTAGCGCACAGTCGTAGACAGTCAGCGGATCACGATGAATCTGAAGACCATCTGCTTCTCCGCCCATGACTCCCGCAACATTGATAATGCCTCTCTCATATATGACGTTCATCAAAGCGGCCTGCTCCCTCCAGTCGGCTGAGTCATTCTGCACAATGCATAATGCGTTTATCCAGATATACTCAACGTTCAAGTAGCGAGCCACCGAGACCGCATCGCGGTAGATTGATGGCCAATCATCTGTCGGGATGGTCTGGTAGAACAGACGCTGATTCTCTCGCGATAACATGGTCTTCTTAACGTCAGCCGTCCATCGGTAGCTGAGAGTGACATAGTCGACATCCTTGTTCAACATATGGTCGATGAGCCGGCATGTATACGTCTGTTCGTGTGAAGGATCGATTTGAATGAGTCGTATAGACTTCGACTCTTGCGACCATGAACTGCTTGTTGATTGACGTGGTTTACATTGTGTGTGAGTTTGTTGACATATTTGCAGCCAATCCTTAGCTTGCTTCAGGGCAAAATGACTGATGTTGGAGTCAGGCAACGGGACGCTTCCGGCCCTGAAAGATGAGTTATCCCTCCCAAGCGCAGATATGGGCATAATAGCGAGATTTGTTTTTGAATCCACGCGACTGTCCAAAATTGCGTCGAGTGTGTATCCACGAGACTCCGAGTGGTGTAGGATCCCTTGGCGTACATCAAGTTCGACTTCGATGTCGCCCATTCGGGATGCCCAAAGCTTGATTTCTGTGTCGGCCGCGTAGTTAGAGCGGGAGAATACACATGATATTCTCGCACACGGATGACATCCGGCTGCAGCGGCAACCTCAAAGTCCCTCAAAGTACAGCGACGTAGCGTTTTACCAGATGATGTTCCTTTCTCGAAAGGCCATGGAGAGTGGCGAGGGAACATGGCCTGGCATGCAGCACATAGCTGGTGGAGTGATCGTGTAGATGCCGCATGCGAACTAGTGCTCTCACACGCGTCCATGTTAGCGAGAAAAGTGATGTTCGGTGGAAGATGGCCACGCGGATTGCGAACGGCACTTGGGCTCGACACAAGTAGGTGGGAAAGAGATGCAGATCTTGGCTTATGCCGTGCAGAGTTGTGAACAGACAGGAATTGTCAGCCTCACCAACGGATACTTGTCTCCAATCAGCCAACCTTGATGCGCCTGCACCAATCCCGGCCATGGTCAACCTGCCAATTGCACAGCCATACCTCCATTGCCATGCTGAGAAAGCCAGCCACACAGATACCGCCGCTATCGCTGACCGAGGTAGCACCCAAACTGAACTCACGATCCTCGGCAGGGACGTTCTCCATAATCTCAGCAAAGGTGTTGACATAGACAGCACCACCGAGCAGACCCCTCCCAAAAGATACAACAAAAACGATATAAACAGACGGGATAAAGTTGAACAGGGCGTGCAAAGTAAGAAGAACGAGGTTGGCGACTTGAAGCAAAGACGGCAGATACAGATGGTGGATGCGGATAAAAGGGGTCGATGAGCGCGAGATGAAAACACCGACTTGATATAGGAAACCGTAAAAGGGATAAAACGATCTGAACTCGGTAAAAGGCGATGAATCCAGCGGGAAGAGCAATGTCGGGGAGACGCCTTGGTTGATGGTGTATTCGGCAATGTAGACCAGCAAAAGCGGGAGCATGTACGGGAAGAAGAGCGACTTGGATCGTCGAATTTTCGCAGCAAGTGAATCATTCCGAGCATCTTCCGTGGGATGCGTTGAAAACGCCGTGGCGGCGACTGCAGGTCCGGGAGCAAGAAGGCCGGATGATGCTGTGCTCGTAGGGATATCGCCAAAGTTGTCCTCCGCCCCTTCTCTTTCTTCCTGGAAAGAGTCACGATCGGCAAGGGGTTCATAGGTCTTACGGGCACTCGCGCGCAGTGGCCCATGGGGGAGGATCATGAAGAAGCTGACAAGCATGATGATGGGCAGAAATGCAGAGGCGAGCAAGCTGGTCTTGACGCTGAAGCCGATCCAATCCGTCAGCATCACATACAAAAGGGACCCGATGAGACCTGCACCGCCGGTACCACTACCCCAAGCGGCCAGACTCATGTGACCATAGTAATGTGTGAGACCCAAAAAGCTCAGCTCGCCGCCACCACTGCTGATGCTAGACAAGACGACACCAATCAGCTTGACGGCCACCGATTGAGACGGCGGTGTGAAGGCGATAAGGAGCATGCCGGCGGAGGAGAGGGCGACGAAGACAAAAATGCGGGAGGCATAGGGTATGCGATGGATGAAGTAAGGAGCAACGAGCTTGGTCAGGAAGCTGGGCATAACATCGGCGAGGAGGACGACGCCCTTGGGGATGCCATTTCCGACAAGATCTTGGGCGGCCGAAAGGATGATGACATAAAGGACATTGTTGATGAGGCCTGGTGTGAGATGTTAGCACATTTCGTGAAGACCAGATGACAGAGAGTATAGACGCACCAAATAACCAGAATGCGACAAAGACAGCAGTGTCTACACTCTGAAGGAGATTCGAGAGACGAGCACGGTAAAGGGCCCACGACGACGAGGGTGCACCAGGCAAAGGGAACAACGCAGAGGAGAAGGAGGGTGATCTGTTCATTGTAGACTATCGCATGCTTCTCAAGGAGGTCAATGGAGGATAAGGATGCAATTGGAGAATTGGAGGAGGTTGTTGGAGGTTGGCGACAATGATGATGACGACGTGTGTTGGAGTCGGTGCTGTCTTGATACAGAGGAAAGGGATGCCTGCCAGCCAGCCATTTGTTGATTGCTTGCCTGCCGGAGAAAGTTACTTTAACAACCCTAACCCTCCTTATTAAACCCAAGATATTCTGGGAGCTACCAAAGCTGTCAGCAGTCGGCAAAGACTGACAACACCAAGCAGTTCATTTGAGAATTGACACAGACTTGAAATTGGCTCGTATGTGGCAACCCATGCCCATATTCAGTAGCAGCTTGATCAACAAGCTAGGACCACTTTTTCAGACAGCCAAATTTTCAGTATGATTCTGGCGATGCTCATCAACCCCAAAATCATAAGCTCACATCAATTGCCGGCGGCCAACTTCTCCAAACAGCTGGAGCTCCGTGGCAGGCAAACAGGCAAAGTGGAATTGGAGGCGAGGAAGATACCAAGACACTAGCGATTTGTGGCAGCGGACCGTGCAGGGTCCGGGATCGGTGGCAACGTCAAAGACGGCACAGTGGACGGGTCTAACGGGATGGCGGGGCAGACGTGCCGCAGTGGGCAATTGGAAACACGGCGGCCGGATCGAGAGAGAGACTGAAAAATCGGGTGAGTCAAAGGCGACATCGGGTTTTGCGGGGCGAACAGGCCGCGTTCTCGGTTGTCAAAGCCATCGGGCAATTGTGTGTGTGCACTGTCATCTTACTGGAGTCATCCACTGGAGTCTTCCACTCTGACAGGGCCACATTTCCTTGCCTTTTATCCATCCTTTGTTCCTTGTTAACCAACACTCTCTCCATTCCCTCTCCGGTTCCTGGATTGGTCTTTTTCTTGAAAGACTGCTTCTACGACTCCTCCTGCTTAGCATTGTGCAAAAGTCATTATCCCCATCCAGCTGCACTGCACTCATACACCACCGCTACACCATGGAGGGTATCAAGCAGACTTTTGCGCGCTGCAAGGCCCAGAACAGGGTATGTTTGACATATCACCACTGCAGTCTTTGTTCCGAAACGCCATGCTAACACACTTCTCCAACAGCCCGCGCTCGTCACCTATGTCACGGCCGGTTTCCCCCGGCCCGAGCAGACCCCCAATGTTCTCCTGGCCATGGAGAAGGGCGGCGCCGACGTGATCGAGCTCGGTGTCCCCTTTACCGACCCCATTGCCGATGGCCCAACCATCCAGACTGCCAACACTGTAAGAAGAAGCGCCGCATCATCACAATGGCGCGCAATGCCTCTCTGACACTCCTCGTTCCCTATAGATCGCTCTCCGGCATGGCGTCACTATCCACTCGACCCTGCAGATGGTCCGCGACGCTCGCCAGCGTGGCCTCAAGGCTCCCGTCCTTCTCATGGGCTACTACAACCCTCTTCTCAGCTACGGCGAGGAGCGTCTCCTCACCGACTGCAAGGAGGCCGGCGTCAACGGTTTCATCATTGTCGACTTGCCCCCTGAGGAGGCCGTCTCTTTCCGCCAGCTCTGCAGCCGCGGTGGTCTCTCTTACGTCCCTCTTATTGCGCCCGCCACTTCGAACGACCGTATGCGCGTTCTCTGCCAGCTCGCCGACTCCTTCATCTACGTCGTCTCCCGCCAGGGTGTCACCGGCGCTTCTGGCACTCTCAACGCCAACCTTCCCGAGCTCCTCGGCCGCGTCAAGAAGTACAGCGGCAACAAGCCCGCTGCTGTTGGTTTCGGTGTCAGCACCCATGAGCACTTCACTTCCGTCGGCGCCATTGCCGACGGTGTCGTTGTTGGTAGCATGATCATCGCCACTCTCCAGGAGGCCGCCGAGGGCGAGGAGCCCCAGGCTGTCCAGGAGTACTGCTCTTACCTCTGCGGCCGCAACTTTGACGAATCCGCTCACGAGCTCAGCATGGGCGACGCTCTTGAGGCCGCCAAGGAGCCCACGGGTACCGCCACTGTCGACAGCGTCATCACCGAGGCCGACATTAACTCTCAGCTCGCCGCTCTCCACAGCACCATTCCCAAGCGTTTCGGCGAGTTCGGTGGTCAGTACGTCCCTGAGGCGCTCATGGACTGTCTTTCCGAGCTTGAGAAGGGTTTCAATGTGATCCAGGATGATCCCACTTTCTGGGAAGAGTACCGCTCTTACTACCCCTGGATGGGTCGTCCGGGTCAGCTTCACAAGGCCGAGCGTCTCACCAAGTATGCTGGTGGTGCCAACATCTGGTTGAAGCGTGAAGATCTCAACCACACTGGTTCCCACAAGATCAACAACGCTCTCGGCCAGGTGCTTCTCGCGCGCAGACTCCACAAGACGAAGATTATCGCCGAGACCGGTGCCGGTCAGCACGGTGTCGCCACCGCTACCGTCTGCGCCAAGTTCGACTTGGAGTGCACCATCTTCATGGGTGCCGAGGATGTCCGTCGCCAGGCTCTCAACGTCTTCCGCATGAAGCTTCTCGGCGCCAAGGTCATCGCCGTCGAGGCCGGCAGCCGCACCCTCCGCGATGCCGTCAACGAGGCTCTCCGCCACTGGGTCATCAACCTTGCCGATACTCACTACATCATCGGCTCCGCTATTGGCCCTCACCCCTTCCCCACCATTGTGCGCACTTTCCAATCCATCATCGGTAACGAGACCAAGCAGCAGATGCTGGAGAAGCGCGGCAAGCTCCCCGATGCCGTCGTCGCCTGCGTTGGTGGTGGTAGCAATGCTGTCGGCATGTTCTACCCCTTCTCAAACGACCCCAGCGTCAAGCTCCTCGGTGTCGAGGCCGGTGGCGACGGTGTCGACACTCCCCGCCACAGTGCCACCCTCACTGCCGGTAGCAAGGGTGTCTTGCACGGTGTCCGTACCTACGTCCTGCAGAACCAGCACGGCCAGATCACGGACACCCATTCCATCTCTGCCGGTCTCGATTACCCCGGTGTCGGTCCCGAACTGTCCAACTGGAAGGATTCCCTGCGCGCCGAGTTCGTGGCTGCCACGGATTCTCAGGCCTTTGAGGGTTTCCGTCTGATGTCCCAGCTGGAGGGTATCATCCCTGCGCTCGAGACTTCTCACGGTATTTGGGGCGCTCTTGAGCTGGCCAAGACCATGAAGAAGGATGAGGATGTTGTCATCTGCTTGTCTGGTCGTGGTGATAAGGATGTCCAGAGCGTTGCTGATGAGCTTCCTATTATCGGACCTAAGATTGGCTGGACCTTGCGCTTTTAAGCGCACCGTGTTAGGTTGTGTTTTGGAAAACATGCACTAAAAGTTTGAAGCATCTGATGCTGCTATATAGCTTCGATTCGTCGCACCATTTAGACCACATGCTGTTCACCGGGTAAGACTGGTGGATGGATTATCAATAGATTCCCTGTTGCAGGTGCTTGATTGTGCTCATGAACTTGCTGTGACTTGTCAGTGACTGTAATTACATTCCATGTGAGGACTGGAGATGGCCGGGACATACCTTTCCTTAACCTTCTATTCCATTGTAGTCGACGAAAGTTATACCCTGGTATAATACCTAGCAATGCCCAAACGCCCATATCATATCTCATAGCTCATCATCCCGGTCATAACCCATAACATCCATCCTCCCCATCTCGATCATCGCCTCACACCCCTCCCAACCTCTCCAAATCCCTCCTAACAGCCTCCACTTCCCTCTCCATCTCGCCATAAACCCTCGCAATCTCCCTCATATCACCTTTCCTTATCCAAATCCCCTTCCACTTCCTCTTGTCCCTTCAAAACTACCCCATACCCCCTCAACAACCCCTCCCCCTTTCCACCTCCTCCCTCAACCTCCTCTCCTCCCCCCGCAACCACGCCCCACATTCCACCAAAGCCCTCCTGACCTCAGGCGTATACACCTCCCTCCTAATCCCCAACAAAGCCAATTCACATTCCTTTTCAGCTTTTCGGGATAACAGCGCAGTCTCAGATGCCTTAAATTCGAGAGAGCGCGCTATAGGACCGTGTTTTGCTTCGAGGGTTTTGATGAGGCTGGATAGGGCGAGGGTGTATTTTGCGAGGAGGGTGGTGATATTCGAGGAGGTGGTGAGACGGGATTTTAGGAGGGTGGTGTGCAGGTTTGGTAAGGTGGAGGTTGTTAGGGTTGAGATTTTGTTTGGGAGGTGGGGGATGAGGCGGGATGTAGAGGATAGGTTGGGGGTGCCGGTGGTAGTGGTAGAAGGAGTTGAGTTGGTTATTGAGGGGTGGGCGAGGCGGATTATGTTGGTGAGTTCCGAAGCGCGGGCGTGGAGGGTTTGTGAAAGAAGAGGGCCGAGGTAGGGAAGTAGGGAAGGGAGTTGAGAAAGAGGAGGCGAGGTCAAGATTAGTGAGAGGGTCTCGGCGTCTAGTGGTTGTTCAGGAGATGAAGAGGAGAAGTCCAAAGCAAGAAAGGACGGCAAAAGAAGAAGAAGGTCGGTGAGTGGTTGTTTCAAGTTGGGCGGAACAGTAACTGGTGATTGTTGGCTAAGCCATGGTCTTTCGAAGCGGCGTTGAACTGGGAGACCACCTGATATCGAAGGTCTCTGGCCGGACTGGTAGGAGTCTCGTTCCGGAATGAGGATAGGCACGGGATCAGGACCGGTGGTTGAAAGCGCGTGGATGAGGAGGGTTTCTTCGGCAGCTTTAAGTCGGTGTTTATTGAGTTCCTGTTGGGGATGTTAGAGGCCGCTCTGAAGTAGTGTTGGAAATGGGATGAGATGAGAAATAATGACTTACATCAGTGACAGATTTGCGTTCCTGAGCCACTGAGTTTTGGGGAGGAAGCTTGGTTGAACCATCTCCATTGAGGAGCAGCTCTGTTAGACCCTTGTAGAGGTTGGCGAACTGGGGATTGTTTTCGAGGACGGAGTTGTCAATTGGTGGGAGCATGGTTCGTTACTTTGCTAAATCGTAGGCGACTTGGCTCCCTCTTCGGTCTCTTGAGATCATCTGTGGTGCTTAAAGGTTTCTTCAGCGTTGTTTCGTGAAAGGAACCGCGTCGTGTCCCATCAAGGTACCTCCTCCATCTCCAACCATCACAACTGATAAGCTCCGATAAGCTTTCAACGACAAGGGATCAGTCGGGAGCTGCCCCGCGAAAGCAGCTGATCGGTCCCATCTCTCTACGCAGTAAGAGCTCACTTCTCCACTTTATTTGCATCCGCTGGTCACAAAATGCACAACACCGCAAGAAGACAAAAGACAAGCAAGCAATTGGAGCACGGACCCGGCTTGGCAAAACAAATTCGTCCCGTGTGCCGGATCCGATTGTCAAGCTGCCGCCTGCCAGAGAGACCCGACCCGGACCCCGTCACGCCGCTGAGTCCCGCCCAGGCCGCACCCACCCAGAGCTGGACCTCCAATCCCGAATCTCGAACCCTTGACTGTGTCCGAGACATTCCCACTCCCGGCGACGCGGACTCGACTACGACGACGACCGACAGCGACGAATAACCGCCCGCTCGTCCAAAATCCATTAATTGCGCCGCCGTCGCATTTTCTCTTCCTTCTCGGTCCCGGCGCATCACCCTCGGCCTACGACATCGGCCACTCCGTCGTTGCGCAACAACTAAGATACCCATCGCGCAATCACATCACACCACCAAAAATGTCATCCTCCCTCATCCGCCCGTGCCTCCGGGCGGCCGCCCCCTCAACTTTCGGCACCGGCCTCCGCGCCCTCTCAACCACTGCCTCGCAGTCCTACCACCAACCCCGCGTCCCCTCCTCCTCGATCCCGATTCCCAACGTCTCCGGCCGCGTCCCTCTCGACCCGCGCGTCGTCCCGTCCCACGTAGCCGAAAACTTCCCCAAGATCGAGATCCCCTCGTACCCGTACGGTCCTCGGCGCGTCTACCACCAATCCAACACGGGTCTTTACGGTTCCGCGCTGATCCGCTTCGGCAACAACGTGTCCAAGCGCAACGAGATCAAGACGCGGCGCAAGTGGCGGCCCAACGTGCAGCAGAAGCGTCTCTGGTCGAAATCGCTGGGCGTGTTCGTGCGCACGCGCGTCACCACTAGGGTGCTCCGCACGATTGACAAAGTCGGTGGTTTGGACGAGTACCTCCTCGGCCACAAGGCCGCGCGCGTCAAGGAGCTTGGGCCGTGGGGATGGATGCTCAGGTGGAGGATCATGCAGACGCCTGCGGTGAGGGAGCGGTTTGCGAAGGAGAGGGAGATGCTTGGATTGCCAGCCACTAAGGAGGGCGAGAAGAGTCTGGAGGAGCAGCTGAGGGAGTTTAAGCTTGCGGGGTTTGCGTTCGAGGAGGGTAAGGAGCCAAAGACCAAGGGGGAACTGCAGGGGCAGGCGGATAGGATTATTAACGACGAGAAGGCCGAGTTGGAGATTGGCCAGGAGGAGGATCTGTTTGTGAAGGAGGAGCCGAAGCCGAAGATTGCGGCTTAGATCGGAGAGACGGTTCTGAAGAGGGTGTGAATACCGTTGAAGTGTGAAGGATGACGGCTGTACCATATCTTTTGTCTGTATAAAAATGGGATTTAGAGGTTGAAGACAAGTATTGTAGACCGCTGGACCGGTAATATCGATGAACTGTCCTGTATGATTCTTGATCTGTCTGTCTCACCGAAGGCTGTCTTATGTTCATACAGGTCTACGAGCCGTCATGGGCCTTTAAGCTAGGCCTTTCTGCTCAACGTAAGAAAGAACTCGCGACCTACACTGGCAGTGTCCAAAGTGCTGCAAATCAAAAGCAAAATCATATCATGGCGAAATAGTCCAAATCATATCAAGGGAATCGCTCCGTAGATTTCTGATTCGTCATGTACCATTAATCATCATACAAGCTACGTAAAAAGCCAAAACCGCCATCCCCTTTTTGTGTATCATTCAAAAGAGAGAAAAAAGAAACCATCATGAAAGTCCCGCCACAGCCAACCAACTCCAAACTGCCTTTTACAAACTTTTTTTTCACAAGTCTAAATCTTTTGTCGTTTAACACATCTAACCCTTGACCTTGAAGATGGCCTCAGCAAGACGGCCGACGTTCTCGCTGGTGATGCCAGCAACGGAGATACGGCCATCCTTGGTGGCATACACGCTGTGCTCCTTGGCCAGCTGATCCATCTGCTCGGGGGTCAGGCCGGTGTAGGCGAACATGCCGATCTGGCTGGTGATGTGGCTCCAGTCATGCTTGCTGCCGAGCTTCTCGAGGTTCTCCTTGAGGAGGGCGCGCATCTTGATGATGCGGTCGGCCATCTCCTTGACCTCGGCGAGCCACTGCTCGTAGAGCTCGGGGGTGTTGAGGATCTCGGCGGCGATGCGGGCGCCGTGAATGGGGGGGTTGGAGTAGAGAGGGCGGACGAGGATCTTGACCTGGGAGTCGACACGCTTCTTCTCGTCGGCGTCGGCGCACACGACGGAGAAAGCACCGATACGCTCGCCGTAGAGACCCATGTTCTTGGCGAAGGACTGGGCAAGGCAGATGTTGTGGCCCTGCTCGACAAAGTAGCGGACGGCGAAGGCATCCTTGTGGATGTCGCCGGAAGCGAAACCCTGGTAGGCCATGTCGAAGAAGGAGTAGTGGCCCTTGTCCTTGACGACAGCCTCAATCTCCTTCCACTGCTCGGGAGTGGGGTCGACACCAGTGGGGTTGTGGGCGCAGGCGTGGAAGAGGAAGATGGAGTTGTTGGGGGCGGCCTTGAGGTCGCGGATCAGACCCTCGAAGTCGAGGCCGATGGTGTTCTTGTCGTAGTAGGCATACTGGGCGACCTCGAGACCGGAGTCACGGAAGACGGCGCCGTGGTTGGCCCACGAGGGGGTGGGGATGTAGATCTTCTTGGCTCCGGGGAAGAAGCGGGCGAGGAAGGCACCGCCGATGCGGAGGGCACCGGTACCCGAGATGGACTGGGTGATGACGAGACGGTCAAGGGCGGAACTGTCCTTGCCATAGGCGAGAACGGCGGCGGCCTTTGTGAACTCGGGAACACCGGTAATGCCGGCGTACTCCTTGTTCAGGCGGGAGTGGATGACCTTGTCCTCGGCCTTGCGAACGGACGGGAGGACATAAGGCTTGCCCTGGTCATCGCGGTAGGCACCGACACCTGTCCGAATCCGTTAGTTAGCTGTTGTTGAAGCTACACTAGTGTGGTTTTATTATATCATGGCGGCAGATCGTGGTGGAGTCGCGTAGGATGCCAAGCCAGGGACCTTTGTCGGCGACAGGTGATTGTGTGTGAGGGGCAAATATAGCATGTGCTCGGGGTGTTGACATACCGAGGTTGATCTTCTTGTCGAAGGAGTCGGCCTTGAAAGCTTCCGTGATACCTGGACAGGATGTTAGCTTTGTGGTTTTGCGCAACTCGAAGTGTTAATGTCGCATTACGTACCGAGAATGGCCTGTCAGACGTGACGGAAGAGCGCGGGGTTAGTAACACCGAAGACAGACACAGCGCGAAGACGGATATAACTCGAGCTTTTGAAGCTATTGTGACTTGGTATCTGAGGAGGAATGACATACATCCTGTTGTGCGCATGGTGGTTAGCATACATCCATTCTCCATTGCGCAATGCGCCAGACCCTAAAGACATGACATGACATGACAAAACTTACAGGAGGACCTTGAGGGACGTTAGCCCAGAACGAGGCGGCGCGGACAGCAACCAAGTTGCGGCCGGAAGAAGCGAAAGCGCTTCTGACAGCGGCTCTGCGCGTAACAAGTCTGACCGAGGAAAGCATCGTGGCGGGCGATTTCTGTCGACAGAGGAAGGATCGTTAGGAGAGGACAGACAGTCGGTGGTGGTGGTGGTGGTGGAGGGAAGGAGAGGACAGGAGGAGAAAAGAGAGGAAAGGACCGACTCAAAGATCAAGAAGGGGACACAGCTTCTTTAGATCGGACTCGGTGTCGAACTCGTCGGATGATTCACACAGGACGAATTGGGTTTGGAACGAGAAGGACAGGCCAATCTCGATGATGTTTAGCTCCGGCGACGTTACAGCATCCCCCACTGTGACCACTGTCCAGTCGCCAAGTCCAGGGCCCAATGGCCCCAGTGGCCTCTCAATCCGCTCAATTGGCGCCACATGTGGAGCTTGATATTCGGGCGGGCTGGCCCAGGCGTGTCAATGTGTGTGCAATGGAAGTGTGGTAGATGCGTGGCAGGGCGTCGACTTCCTATCTTCGGGCGCTGTCGGATTGACACCTGCGGTGAGAAATGGCTGGGCTAGGGCCTGTGCAAAATCTTTCCTCGACCCCCCTCACAGCACCCCTCGGCAGACCCCTCACCGGCAACGAACAACTGATCAGCTCACATTGAAACTCCAAGCTTCCCCTCACCACACCAAGCCATCAAGCTGTTCTCATCAACGGCATCTCGGAATCATTATCCGTCCCGATCTCGCCCGACCTCCAAGCCAACACCCAGCCATCTCAATGTAACGAAGCGTCATCTTGGGATTGAATGATGGAAATTGATTGAGGCTTGGTGGTGATGGGATTGAATCGCCATGGACGAGGCTGAATGCGATGAACGGCGGTCTATGACTCGTGGCTGAGCTCCGATTGTCGGCATCGCTGTTGATCTTCCTAGCTTCGAGATGAGCTACGCACGGCGATGGTACCCGGATTTGCCATTGCACTCGATCTTATATGATGGAACGGACCGACGATTTTCCCTGGCTTCTGGGAACGACCTGATTCTTATGATTGCGGCACCTGTTACTCGGGACAGGCAATGGATGATGAAGTAATAAGAGCTCGATGATATTCCCGGCGAGCTTTACCGGTCGGACTTCTCCAACTGCACACTGCTGTCAACGGACTCGTCTCTTCATCGGCGAGCTCGAATACCACCTCGGACTCACCTTGCCGAGCATCTACACAAGTCAGAGTCGTACGGTTAAATCTATGCACTATATCTCCTACTTCAACGTTCGTAGCTGACCTACAGGGAGCAATATGGCTTTCATGTCAAGTGCATGACAGCCTTCGGACTTCCGTTGTGGGAAAACGGACTTCATCAATAACAAATACACAGAAGTCTGTGAGCTTTGAAGATGAAGAAATGGAGGGGGAAGAAGGTAGTTGATGAAGTATAAAGCCTCGATGTTGTCAACGTTGATAAAGATGGCAACATCAGACACGTTTCACTTACACATTCAGTGACTTACCAATTTTCCTATTCGCAACATACCCAACCCCCAGCCAAAGCCAGCCAAAATGCAGTGCGCCGCCATCCTCATCACTCTCCTCTCCTCCGTCGCCTTCACATCGGCGCTCCCGCAAACCGGTCCTCCGGCTTCCTCTTGCCCCGTCACAACTCAGATGCCCGAGTGCGGTGTAAGCTAGGACACAGACACTCACCTCTCTTCACCTTCCTTGACACAACAGGCCGACTAACAGATTGATACCCATTCAGGTCCCCTGCATCCAAGCGGCTGCCATCGAGATCGGTTGCACCAAGTACATGGACTTTGAGTGCCAGTGCAAGAATGCCGCGGCCATGCAGGCTGCTGTGATGCCTTGTGTTGCCCAGGCCTGCGGTGCTACTCTTGCTCCTGTTGTTGGACAGGTTGCAAATGCCATTTGCGAGCAGTGTGTCACCACGGCCTAGGTCGTCTGTGGGAAGAGCGGTGGCCGAAGACGAGGGAGATGTGTTGCGGTAACTCGTGGTTGAATGTGTTGATGAGCTGTTGTTTGGAGATGGATGTTGGATAGTAGAGAGATGGGCTATCGAATCAATCCTCTATCTCCTCTCATTTCTTGAGAAGAGGACGTGGAAAGTCTACGTTCGTTCGTTCGTTTCTCCACTCCTTGTGACTCGTAAGCCAGACAGTCACGAGGGTCTTTGAACCAAGAACCCGGGGCATCGGCGTGAGTATGCAGTCCTAGCAGTTCTAGAATTAGCTACACGCCAAACACGCAACCACCAACACGGTTCCCTCATGATGCCTCATTATTGGCCAACCTGATCCTGATCGATATCGTCTCACCGATTGATCAGAGAGTAACCCTACCTGCCAGGAACCGACCGGCCGGGAAACCTGGAGAAGAAAAAACATGGGGTAAGGCGGCGGCGAGGGCGGGCCAACGATGTCCGTCGCCGTTAACAATTGGATGCCAAGCCTCGGCTCGACTAACACCTCTTGATCCCCTGAAATCCGGGGTAACAACCTCCGCCCTCCCAATTAGGAAATTGTCCGAAGACATCTTTTTGTAAGTGACGTTATGGGTGAGTTCGAGTATAAAAGTCCACAACATCGCAACTTGTGAATAATGGAGTTCTTTTGGCTCACCAGTTGACTCTGTCTCTGTCTTCTCTCCTCCCCCACAGGCACTCATCAAGATGCGTCAAGGCCACTTCCTTTCCCTCCTCTCACTGCTCGCTACCGGCGTGTCGGCTGCCCCCGGTAAGGGCAAGGTCCCCAAGGGCTTTGTCACTGCTGAGGGTGACCACTTCAAGCTCGATGGAAAGAACTTCTACTTTGCCGGTAGTAATGCCTACTACTTTCCCTTCAACGTTAGTACCCTCTCGCTTCCGTCCCATCCCATGATAAACGCACATGCTAACTCACCTCGCCTTTCCAGGACAAATCCGACGTCGAAAAGGGCATGAAAGCTGCCAAAGCCGCCGGCCTCACCGTCTTCCGTACCTGGGGGTTCAACGACAAGAACCGCACCTACGTCCCCACCGGTCTTCCCCAATACGGCGGCGAAGGTGCCGGCGCCACCGAGACCGTATTCCAATGGTTCGAGAAAGACGGCAAACAAACCATTGACATCAGCCCCTTCGACAAGGTGGTCAACTCGGCCTCCAAAACTGGCATCAAGCTCCTTGTCGCGCTGACCAACAACTGGGCCGACTACGGCGGCATGGACGTCTACACCGTCAACAACGGCGGCAAGTACCACGACGACTTTTACACGCAGCCCAAGATCAAGGCCGCCTTCAAGAAGTACGTCAAGGCCATGGTGACGCGGTACCGCGACTCACCGGCGATTCTGGGCTGGGAGCTGGCGAACGAGCCGAGATGTGGTGCCGATGGGACCAGGAACTTGCCCAGGAGCGAGAATTGCACGCCTGAGGTGTTGACGAAGTGGATTGATGAGATGAGCACGTATGTGAAGAGCCTAGACAAGAACCATCTGGTTACGTGGGGTGGTGAGGGCGGGTATAACAGGCAGAGCGATGATGGGTTTTATAATGGCTGGGATGGAGGTGATTTTGATAAGGAGTTGAGGTTGAGGAATGTCGACTTTGGGACGCTGCATTTGTATCCTGATGTAAGTTTTTTTTCCCACTCACCCTTGCATTACATACCCTGAACTGGATGGAACTGACTGACAATGTCGACAGTGGTGGTCAAAGAGCGTCGAGTGGTCCAACCAATGGATCCGCGACCACGCCGTCTCGGGCCGCGCCGCCAAGAAGCCTGTCGTGCTCGAGGAGTACGGCTGGATGACCGACAAGGGCCGTCTGGACCAGCTTGGCCAGGTCAAGAACGAAACCCGAATCGAGGTCATTGGCGGCTGGCAGAAGATTGCCGTCCAGGAGAAGATGGCCGGCGACATGTACTGGCAGTTTGGCTATGGCGGGTATTCCTACGGACGCAATCATGATGATTCGTTCACAATTTACTTGGAGGATGCCGAGGCCAAGGAGCTGGTGTATAAGCATGCCAAGGAGATGCAGAAGTTGAATGAGCGGAGGCACTAAGTTAGATGGATGATTATGATGAGTAGGAAGGAGGGTTGATGGTTCTTGCCTACATAGGCGCTTCTACTTCTGATATTTGGAAGGAACGATGCTTCCGTTTTCTTTTCAATTTCATTCCTTATCGCTGTTGCATTTCCCCAATTTGTGATGAGCGGTCATGCTTAGGAAGGAACGCGCGGTGTACATGAAGCCAAGCCAGGCTGACGCTGCGTGGTTGGTGACGATCAATATTGCTGGCGTTGGAACGGCGCGAATCCAACAACACCAAGAAAGCCAAGAGGTTACAAATAAGGTGTTTGTACAAGCTTCCAAGCCGGATGATCACTTTATAGTTGCGGCTGAGTATCGGACTTTGTTTAAACTCAATCTCAACTCCGTTCCCGTCGGCGGTCTTGGCCGGCATGCAAATAAGTTGTGAGTTGTTTCCTAGGCACCTATTTCTGCCTCAATTGTAAGCTGCGATCGGCATTTCAGAGACATAATGATTCTGAGTAAACCATAAGAAGGGAGCCTTGTCCTGGTATCTGTTCTTGGTGTGATTAGTTTGCATCGACAAACAAACAAACCACTTCATCTTTCATTGCCTGACTTCTTTGGACGATATCACTCAACTCGAAAACACCATATACTCAATCCACAAATATGCAACTCCTCCAGACTATCCTCATTCTCTTTGGCATCACGGCAGCTGCTCCAGCAATGGCGGCTTACACCGGCCCCTGTTCCACGACACAATGCGGAGCATCCGGGGTAGCGTGTCCGAGAGGATACCTGTGCGTCCCTTGGCCCTCGTTTGATCCCGCAAAGAGGGAGGGGTGTACGTGTAGTTACGCCTAGTGGATTTGGGGGAAGGTACGTCTACCCGGTGAGTCTGAGGCCAGGGCAGAGTTGGAAGGTGCTGACTGAGTGACGGATAGGTATCTACAAAGGTCGGCGACGAGTCTCTTGAATTGGTGACTCTTCCCTGCTCGTCATCCAGCGCTCCTTCCGTCTTCTTTGGTTGAATATCCTCCCGCGAGTCTGGGGAAGGAGTGATGGCCAGGGGCCAAGAGAGTGGAGTGCTTGGGAATGGTCAGTCGTTGGGATCGGAGTTGCCTATTTCTTTCTTTGGTTCCTACCATTTTCTCCCAGTCAAACTTGTATTTCCCTTTTTCCCATCAGTCCCAAGAATCCGATCATGTCATGAATCAAAGTTATAAACCTCCAAACAATGGAAAATGCGCGAGTGTCTGTCAGTTCCGTTGTCACACATCCGGATCCCCGCCCCAGCGATAAGCGAGCTTCCCCAGGTGGGTCCGAAAACGGATCTGATAACTCTAAACGGGGAAGCTGGAACGGCCGGGCCCCTCGGTCCCAAGACCTTCCAAGACCCAAAACACTAACAAGGAACATCGCTGGACAAACTTTTCCCGACAAGCATCCACCCAACGCTCGGAAACCTCGTATCGAGCGAATGCGAAGCGCAAACCGATAACATCTGGCCCAGCCTGTGGACAAATTAGGAATGGCACGACGCCATGAATCATCCCGGATCGAATCATGGCCAAGACAGTGCGGTGTCTTGGCTTTGAGTGTGTGAGTTCCACCTCCTCGGATCTATCAAGCTGTCGTCTTGTGTGGACAACCGATCAGCATTTCCTTCGCCAGATTCAGTGCCCATGGATGATGCATCACACGTGGGTGCCATGCTCCCGGATCGTGCTGACTATCAAATTGACATGTGGCCCATGATGATCATCAATCTTGATGGCCCAGACACTCCTTTATACTTGAACGTCTCTTGGTTCGCTGGGTAAGAGCTTCAGTTGTTTTTCAGCTGCTTCCAAACCATGTTCTAACCGAGCTCAGCAGCTCGTCCTGGAGACACTCCTTGCGCACCGGATAAACTCGGGCTGGGGTTGGTGGACGAGAATCACGGTGTGGAGAGGACCCCAAGACGGCGAGGCCAGGTCGTCCCCTCGTTGTCGCTTAGCCCGACCATGGCGCCATGCTGACTCTTGTTGGCCGGCGTCGCCCAGGTTGCCTAGACCACCGAAGCTGGCGCATACCTGCGATACCACGGCTCACCATCTCCCGCGGCGGCGTCTTCTAGTCGTTCTGGGCGCTTCTCTTTGTTGGGATGGCCTAGCACTCGGTGAGTTTTCTAGCCATGGCCTCCTTGGCTGCGGTTTTCGGAGTGGCGGAAAGGAATCGGCACTTCGTTTTTATCTGATCAGATCATCAGATAAAGAACGCACACGAGATCTCTGACCCTTTTAAAGAGGGAACGAACCGGCCTGCTCCCTTCTCTCCGTCTGTTTCATTTTTTATCAAAAGCCCAAGAGATCTTATCAGATCCGAACCGCCCAACGTCCATCCATCCATCCATCCATCCGTTCCACAGCCAGCCGTTTCTTTTCCGAACCAAACCATCCCAAACACCCCTAAATACAACCGCCAAAATGGTCATCGCCGTCCTTCCCGCCCTCATCCCCGACATCCGTCGCGTGTACGAGTCCTACTTCGCCGCCTTCAAGGGCGAGCGCATGGGCGAGATCATGCTCAAGATCCTCTTCCCCGGCGTTGACACCGAGGCGTCTGAGTTCCGCGACGCCCACGCCAAGGGCACCCTCGAGTGGTGGCACACCTCGACCACCCAGTACACCTTCAAGGCCATCGACATGGCCGACGGCGAGATCTTGGGCATGGGTCTGGTAGATATTTTCGTCAAGGAGCGTTCCGAGGAGGAGCGCAAGAACCTTGGCGTCCCGTGGCTCGAAGGCGAGGCGAGGGAGAGGGCTGAGAAGGTCCTTAACCCCTTGCACGACATGAGGGAGCACCTCTTTGGTGGCAAGCCCTACATCTGTATGTTCTTCCTACCCCTCTGGCCTGACTGACATTGGCTAATCCATGCTACAACAGATGCCCACGTCATCGGCGTCGACCCCAGATGCCAGGGCCGCAAGGCCGGTATTGCCCTCGCCAAGTTCGGTCTCGACCTCTCTGAGCGCTGCAACCTCCCCATCTACTTCGAGTCTTCCCCTTCGTCCATCGGCCTTTACCAGAAGGCTGGCTATGAGATCCTCAAGGAGACCATTGTCCACAAGGCCGAGACCCTCGGTGTCGAGGAGGATATCGTTGTTCCCCTGGTCGTTCGCATGCCCTCGTGTGCCAACGGCATGAGCTTCTATGAGTGGAAGGAGAAGGGTTACCCTAGCTTCAACGCTCCCTCCAACAAGGAGAAGTTGTAAAGGGCGCATTAGCATGGTTTTGTAATGGCTTGGAAGGATAATATCTCGTAATGTTTATATGGCTCGGAGTTTGGGATGGGTTTGGCAATAAAAAGTCATTGGATAGAGCGCGTCGGAACGGATGGTGAACATGTTGGGCTCAGGAGAGATCGATGCCAGTGTGTGATGTCGACGTTGGTTGATGCTTTATGTTGTCGTTACACGACACCTCGCACAGCAAACTCGAAAGGGGGACATGTTTAAACGGCTATCTCGAAGTACCGGGACTGATAACGGAGATGTTGTGCCGGTCCAGGACATGTTCGCTGACGATCTGCAACAGTCTTGGCCCTGATTCGCTCCCCGCATGGGAGATACCAACCGCTCGAGCCAGTCGTTGCATTGTAACGTCATGTCCACCTCCCGACAGACACTTTGCGTCCGTCTTAGCGAAGATACTCCGAGACAACAATGATGGGAATGACTAGACTCACTAGACCGACAGAGGAAGGTGAGGAAGGTGTTGCGATCGTCGCCACCCAATAACAGCCATGTCAATACCATGAGCAGACAGAACAAAACGAGGACACTCCCTCATCCGTCCTCAAACAATGTTCGCACCATGGCCTCCTCACCACCACGATCAACCTCGCTCTCGGAGAAGAAGGACTCGGACCCTGAACGCCAACATGAGTCCTTCCTCACCGACAACATGACCGACAAGCCAACAGCCACCGGCGCCGGCGCTGAGACGGAAGAAGTCCTCGACCCCAAAGCCGAAGCTGCCCTCCTCCTCAAGCTCGACTCCGTCTTCGTCCCCATCATAATGCTCGTCTACCTCTCTTGCTTCCTCGACCGCTTCAACATCAGCAACGTCAAAGTCGCCGGCATGCCCGAAGACATCCATGCCACGCCCGCGCAATTCTCTACCGTCGTCTCCGTCTTCTACGCCACCTACGTCGCGTTCGAAGCGCCTTGGGCCATCTTGTTGAAACGGCTGACGCCCCGCGTTATGCTCACCACTTTATGTGTCGTTTGGTCATTAACGACAATTCTCTCGGGGTTTATCACCAACATTGGGGGACTGTATGCCGCCCGCTTAGTTCTGGGGATGTGCGAAGGTGGACTAATTCCGGGACTGAATTTGTATTTGACCATGGTTTACAAGCGGGAGGAGCAAGCGAAGCGGATGTCATACCTATTCGTATACACGGCCATCGCTGGTGCGTTCGGTGGGCTTCTGGCGTACTTGATCTTAAAAATGGACGGAATCGGGGGCCAGGCCGGGTGGCGGTGGGTATACTTCATCGAAGGGATTTTCAGCATCCTGATTGGACTTTTGGTGTGGTTCGCGCTGCCGAATGATCCCACCGAGGCCTACTTCCTGAACGAAGACGAGAAGTGGATGATGAGAGTCAGAGCGCAGTAGAGGGCGCAGTACATGGGCAGCGAGGAGTTCAGCTGGGAGGATATCCGGATTGCCCTGAAAGACAAGAAGATGTGGATCAGCGGCGCGATCCAGTTCTGTCAGGACATCCTGCTGTACGGCTTCAGCACGTTCCTGCCGAGCATCATCCAGAGCATGGGCCACGACAGCGTCGAGGCGCAGTACCTGACTATTCCCGTGTACATCACGGGCGGGCGGTTCTTCATGGCGCTGGCTTTCCTGTCGGATAAGCTCTGTGTGAGGGGCCCGCTGGTGGCGTTTCCCAATATCTTTGGGATATTGGGGTATATCTTGATCATATGCAAGACGAGCAACGGGGTCAAGTTCTTTGGCACGTTCCTCTGCGCTTCGGCGGTGTATAGCGGTCCGGGACTGAACCTGACTTTGCTCAATGTTAATGTTGCGCCGCACTATCGGCGGGCGGCGGCGATCGGGTTCCAGCAGACGGTTGGAAATACCGCGGGAATCGTGGCGGGCCAGATTTATCGCGAGAAGCCGTATTTGCTGGGCAATGCGTTCTCGCTGGGAGCGTTGGTCGTGGCGGAGTTTTTGATTGCCGGGTTGTGGTTGTATGTTCGAAAGTGTAACCGGAGGAAGGAGGGGATTGGGAAGGGGGAGATTGAGGATACGAGGAAGGTGAGGACGGGGGATGGGAGCTGGATTTTAGGTATCATCTGTGAACTGTGATGGCCGATAGGATGGGACGGGATGTCTGGTCAGCGGGTTTCTATTGTATAGCTCGAGAGATGCGGTATTCACTTCCTGGACTGCGTGCTGTCTCATGTTTGATATTACTTTTAGACTTGATATCAGCTGGCCTTTGTGTGTAATGAACCGCATAAGGGAAGCAGGTACTAGATTTCAGTTTTACCTAGCATACATACCAGAATGATTGAAAGAGAATGGAAGTTGGAATTCGGAGGTTAGTGATGCGAAAGGAGCGACCGTCCTGATCCGTTATTTGCATATGAACCAAACAAGTACCAGACCTGTATGCAACTCAAGGAGCGTGCAATGTGCTGAACGCGCCTTAGAGGTAACCGCTGTAACTCTGCTACCCTTCCCTAGAGGTATTGGCAGCCTCTCATTCAGCGCTAAGCATGTCATCAACCCGTTCCGTTATCCGTCTTTCCCTTTTACCAGTATTCACCGACCCTCCTCGCCTTCGCCCCACGGACGGACGCCAGACAGTGTGCCGTTTTAACAAGTGCCCATGCTAGAACGGGACTTCCTGTCCTGAGGTGACCTACAGTAGACGAACGATTGGTCTTGGATGTCATATTCTCCCCAGACACGAGAAACCCTCGAAAACCCCGAGTTCACGCACGATGACCACTTCTCCGCCCCAGGGGCAGTGGCACTTTCAACAGTTGCTGGCGTACCGTTCAAGATGTTGATCCGCAGTCCGACTCCCACCTGACCAACTGGAAGGAGTAGGTAGTAGCAGTCGGCCTGTGCCAAAATGGAACACTGGCCTTTGTCGCTTCCACAGTAGAGTATTGATGCGAATTCCTACCTTAATCTACTTATCTAAAACAGGCCAAGTCCGAGCATGAAAAAGGCAAAGAGCTGATCCAAGGTAACGCAGAACATTCACCCGGCCATTTTCCTCTTCTGGCTTCAACGCAAACAAGAGAGCATGCTGTTGCGCCTACCTCCCCTAGAGGTACCTTGTTGGTTTGTGCTCTGAACCGGGGCCCGCAGCAAGGCCTTCCTTATGACACTTTGTGTGAAGCATCGAAGACGCGTCTATCGCCAACACCTCCCAGACAGGCGGGTCGGGTAGGACTCGGGCCATGTAATATTCAAACGAGTCAGAGCATGTCAAGCCTTAGCTAAAGGACTGTGTTTTGTTACCTATTATCGGCTACGGAACAACTTGCCATGTCTCCGGAGACAACTCAGTTTGTTTAGTTGTGGAAGAAAGAAGGAGAAAATTAAGAAAACGGAACAGGGAGTCAGTTATCATGGACATACTTGGGAGCAGATATATATTAAGTGCCTCTCAACCTGGGAAAATGAAAGCAGTCATCGCATTCCGTTCCGTTCCGTTCCTTTTCGACACATTAGATCCGGCAGCTGCGAAAGTTCTCTTAAAAGATCAGCAAAAATGAGCCAAACGGTATCAACCACCAAGACAGCCCTCCGAGCTCGTGGCAACAGCGACAGGTCCAGCAATGAGGAGACGCAACTTCTCAAAAAGACACAGCTCTCTCAACAATACGGCGGTCACTACGCCGGCGGCTGGGTTGACCTGCTCCCGGCTTCATAGGTTCCTTACGTCCAGCTCTCACGTCTTTCCCCGCCCGCGGCCTTCTTCATGGTCTTCGCGCCGCACCTTTTCGGCGCCATTCACGCCGCTGCCATCCATCATCTCCCGCTCCTCTCTGTCGCCCGCGTTGGGTGCTACCTCTTAGCCGGCTCCTTCTTCTTCAGCAACGCCGCTCATGCCTGGAACGGCCTCGTCGACGCTCCCATTGACGCCCAAATCGCCCGCACAAAGACGCGTCCCATTCCCCGGGGCGCTATCTCCCCATGAGCCGCCTTCCTCTCACCTGCGTCCAGGCAGTCTGCGCGGCCGCGTTTCTGCTGCCGCTGCCCTTGGACGCCACGCTCGCTGCTATTCGATTACAAGTGTTGGGCCGCGTTTACGCTATGGGCAACACATGATATATACTGGCAATAGGCCTCGGTTTGCCCTCGGATTAATGGTTTTTGGTGGACAGTTAGGGCATTGCTCTTAATCTTGTATGCTAGACTCACCGGTGCGGCACGTCTCATGCCCTACGGGAGGCGGAAGTAGACGTTAAAAATAACAACAACAACAACAAGCCACGCTCGCTGCCATGGCCACCATCATCGGCACCACCTACTACCCGTATGACAAGCGCCACACGCACTTTGCTCAGTTCGTCCTCGGCCTCTGTCTGGAATGGGGCATCATGGTCGGGTCGGCCGGCATGGGCGTTCCCGCTCCGTGGCGGGATCTCAGCACGTCTAGCCTGGTGGCCGCCAGCGTCGTGTGGGTGGTCATCTTCGACACCATCTACGCGCACCAGGATCTGGCGGACGACTTAAGGGTGGGGTGTCAAGAGCATGGCCATGCTGTTTGGTAGCTGGGCGAGACCTATCCTGTTTGGCCTGTACCTGACCATGAGCGCGCTTCTGGTCGCCAGCGGGTACTGGGGCGGTATGGGGGCGCCGTATTACGCAATCACGGTTGGAGGGTGTGTGGTCTCGGTCGGCTCCATGATTGCCCTGGTGGACTTGACGGATCCGGCTAGTTGCTGGACCTGGTTCTCGCGGGGGTTCTGGCCTACGGGCGCGGCTATTGCTGCTGGGTTGCTGGTGGAATACGGTTGGCAGCGGATGGCAGGTGATGGCCTGAGACTCTAAGTGGCTCAGATCTACTTTGAGGTCGCAATGCTTGTACATTCCCTAGTGAGGTTGTAGCGGACAGGATTCATGCTCTGGTTTGTTTCCGAGGCGAATGATGGTGGTGCAGAGAAAAGTGGTGGGGAACTGCTCGACCGACATGGCAGGACTACATATTGAATTCAGGGTACTATCATGTTAACCCTGGGTACCTTATTGGATTCGTTACAGGTACCGCAACAACAGTGCTGTCACTGGAGTGAAAGCCCCTAGTTCTCCGGGTCCTACAATACAGCCCCCTTCAAGTCTAACTCTATACGTATCATATGTAGAGCAACCTTCTCCGCCGGATCTGCAAGCCGTTGGCGCGCTCGGGTCGTATACGTTGACACACGGCGCATCTATAACAAATCCTACTCTGTGCCGGTGTCCGAATTGAGCTGGACTATAATCTGGACCCCTATGGTAACTGTTCTTCTAGGCCTGTATGTACACAGGGCAAAGTATCTTCTAGCCGGGGACTGAATTTTCCTGGTCAGTCCTTCTATCCGCATCCTGCCTACCTGCTGAACCGAGTGTTACTCTCTCATTTGCTTGATCCTGCAACCGCCTAAGGTAGACAATGCAAGTTGTACCAAGTCATTGGTGAAGATCCGAAGCATAAGGCATTGCCAGTAGGGTGCATCCTGAATGTAACAAAGGCTTGCTTGCTCTCTACCTAAGGTACGTACCTAAGGTACGTACTCTCTTTCTTCTTTCTTTCTTTCTTTACCTCCAAATCGGCTTCTCTTGACTCCCACCGCTTTTCACTCTTGTATGGTCGTCAGGCTTCTGCTCCGTCCAGTCAAGCTTCATTTTTCCAGTCCAAATTCCACCGCAATGTCGCCGCCCGCTACAGACAGAAAAAGTGTAAAATACAGCGAGAATGACACAGAATGTAGAAGTGTGAGTGCCCGTCTATTTCCATTGCCCTGCTATTTGTTTTTCCATTCTATGCCCGTCATTGTTACTACCTATACCGTCGTTGTCACAATCCATCGAGACAACCAAAGAATGAGAAAAGTTTACAGCACAGACCTCAAAAGCCAGAGATTGGAACACCAGAAAATGCCTACCTACCTCTACGTACCTTACCTACCTATAGTAACCAACCAGACCACACACTCTTTTTTCCGTACTTCAATTCCGCCTCAAAGGCGCAGTCACCGCCCGTCTGCTCTCCCACCACGACCCCTATCGCGCCTTTGCCATCAAAGCCACCTTCGACCTGCACAAGGGCGCCGAATTCATCTCCGACAAGGACAAGAAACCTCCCATGCACTTCCACGCAGCGCAGAAGGAATACATTGAGTGTCTGCAGGACAAGCTGGTCGTTGAGACGACGACGACGGGAAATACCTTCTTCGGCTACATGTACCACCAGGAGCACGAGCACGAGCACCAGCCCCAGTACCATTTCTGATTCCCGAAGACGGTCGGTTCACCATCCGACCGCACGTGAACCATCGGTCGTATTCGGCTCTGCTGGAGGAACAGCCACAACAACAGCAGCCACAACAGCAACAGCAAGAAGAAAAGCAGCACATTGTCAAGATGCTGATGAGTGCGGAAAAGTCCGACAACAGTGTGTTTGAGCTGACCGATGTGTTTTTCGAGAATTGGTACGGCTACCAGGACGAGCTGCTGGTGCATGGAGGGAGAATTAATTTGTTCCAGGTGTTTTGCGTGAGTGTAACTACCTACCTTACCTACATTACCGTAATCCTTTATCGGCCTCTTTTCGGTTGTGGCTGACCGAACGACGGGTGTTACCTAGACATTTAATGCCGGTGGTACGTATCTGTCCTTGCCATGGTGGGTGCCGTTCGGCCAAAGCGTGTCAATCGCCTTGAGCGTGGTCTTGGGCAGATGGGTTGGGAGTGGACTGCTTGGATATCAGCCCTTTTACAGGAAATGGACGACGGATTGGGAGCTGGCTTGTCAAAAGATGGAAAGCTCAATCTTCCAGAGACGGTTTGCTGGTTGGTCCAAGACTGAGTAGTGTAGACTGGGGCTGTCGAGCAGGAAAGGGAGGGCAGAATTATGGCAGGCACTTCATGCTGCCCGAATTCTGTAGAGATAGTGCTTCTGCCTTTTGTAGACGCCCATGACACCCGACGGAATCAGGTAGAGGAAGGTGTCTGTCTCCCATAGTTTTTAGGTGGAGCAGGTGCGTAGGTAGTTTCTGGATCGATACGTTATAAAACCCACTATGCGGATGCTGGGTGTAATAGTAATAATTTCATTTGAAAGCTAATGGCGGCAAGTACAGGTAGTTGTAGGTGTCGCTGGTACCAATGAAAGACGAACCATGTCACGTATTGGATGTGAAAACTGGGTGTGCCTCGCTAACTTTTCAATGTAGCCAAAATCTCCCTCACGCCTGCAAACTCGAGCTCAGTCATAGTCTCGTCCCACAACTTCTTTGAGATCTTGCTTCCTTCCTCCGTATAGATAATGGGTGCCAAGCTACATCATGTCATGTTAGTGAGTTTCTTTTTAAATTTTGATTGATTGATAGGCCCAGGTGCAAATGGAACTCATCTTACGGAACAAGCTCTTGAAAGCTCAGCATCTCTCCATGCGTCTCCTCGCCATGGTTGACAGCGGCATCCGTAATCATTCGCGCCCCGACCGCCGCGGTATTGGCCACCTTCTTCATGGCGAGCTTTCCAATGGTGTAAAGAAGCGTACCGTCGCGATCACGGTTAAACTGGGTCTCAAGAACCAGCGAAGGGGATGTAGCGTTGATGACGGCCAGCGAAGGGGAGACCACCTTTGCGATTTCCGACAGGAAGAACTGGCCCAGCAGCTTGGACACCTGCATGCGATCTATCATGTTGACGGCCTTCTTGCCGCTGTCGTCATCATCCAAAGTGGCCAGAATTGAGGGCGGCGTCGGGTTCTTCCCCACGACCTCGCTGAAGCTGGTCCACCCCGATACCTCGGAGTTGACGATGGTCAGACGACTGGGACCGGATTGATTCTGGCGCTTGGACTGGATGACGGGCAACAGGACAATGGCCAGTAATGCAGTGGAGAGGTAATTGACTTGGATAACCTCGTCATGGCCGGTGTGTGGGTTGAAGGAGCGCGTGACGGGACAAATACCGGCATTTAGGACGGCGATGTCAAGCGTGGTGAGTTCCTTCTCGGCCCTAGCAGCGAAGGCAAGAATGGAATCATAGACGGACAGGTCCAGATTCCAAACCTCAATGTTAGCTTTGTGCTTGGCCTCTCGACCTTTGGTCAGGTTGGCGACAGCGGCAGCGCCCTTGGTCTCGTTGCGAATGGCCAAGACCAACTTCCTGATACCAAGGTCAAGCAGTTGGCGAGCCGTCTCGAGACCGACGCCGGTATTGGAGCCGGTTACAATTGCTGTCTTGCCATTGAGGTTGACGCCGGTCACGGATTTGGGTCTGCACGTGAGCTGTTGGTAGGCAAAGTGAGGAAGACTCGCTTGTTTTTCGGGAGTCACCTTGAACTTGGAAGGACTTTCGGTGGAAGTGGCCATGTTGAAAACGTTGGACCTTGAAAGACTATGTACTTTGGGAGGAAATGGGGGAAAAAAAGCGTAAATAGCGGAGCAGCCAGCACTGGAGGTTGTTAAGAAGAGGGGGTGAACGTGTAGGGGTAGGTATGTCGGGGACATGGAGTGACAGAAGTCGTTGGGGGTATACTTGGGGCATGGGCGATTTAACTAGCACTTTTATGGTTAACCATCTTGACTAAAAGTAAATATCTGGCCCTGTTTTCCCTCAGTAACCCATTCCGATTGGCCATTATTATTGATCTAGTATGAGCCTGGGAGGGTGTTGATACCGTACCAGGTCCATCCGGCATCTTTGGCCGTGCTCTCCCCGGCGCTCCTAAACTGCCCAGACTTCAATACTTGGCCGCCTCACATCTGGTCTTTCAGTCTTGCTGTCAGCTGTGATCACGTCGTCTTGATCCAGCGTAAGTATATATATAAATCCTGAGGGACCTCTAGGCTCCAAGAAACAATGGTAAACATGTATACATTCTCCAAATGAAGTCACGTACCATTATTGCGCTTGTAGCTACCCTCGGGACACCGGGTCTTTTTGGAGCTGCAACCAACAATGAGTCTGTTGACTCTCTTTTCTTTTCGTTTGCAAAAGACCTCGGGTTGAATGATTCTTCCACGCTGCCGCTTAAGAGAAAATACACCCATGCTCGGTCTTCTTCCCCATGATTGAGATTGCCTGTCAGGTCGTGCATTTTGCCTTGGGCAATCAGCAGGTTGATATATCACCCATCGACCAGACAACAGTTGAGGTCAACTGGTAAGTAAAAGCGCCAGATTCTGAGAGGAATGCCTCATGTGCACGGCTAACACCGTCCCATCAGGTCGGAAACATGTCAGATGGAATCGCGCTACGTGGTCTTACCACGACAAGCGGCCGATGTTTCAAAGGCAATGCGCGTTATAAGCTTCTTGGGTACCAAGTTTGCAGTTCACAGCGGAGGCCATTCTCCTAACCCGGGCTCGTCCAGCATCGGCAGCGAGGGTATTCTCATCGATTTGCAGAGATCGAGGGCCGTCTCCCTATCTTGCGATCGCTCCGACGTCACTGTCGGCCCCGGTCTATGCTAGGGAGAGGTCTATAGCGCTCTTGATGCCGACAACGTCGTGGTGGTTGGTGGTCGCTTGCCATCCGTTGGTGTTGGCGGACTGATCCTTAGCGGCGGCTATGTCCAGTAAGCAGCGAGCTGGTCCGACAGGGCGTGCAAAAGTGGGGAAATCCCCTCGGCTTGTCGTCATACTTTTGGTCCTCGGGGAACGGTGCTAGAGGAGGAGCTCTACAGTGGTGGACAACCCTTGTCGAATGAGAAAATGGCAGAGACGATGAAGCCGCTCGTGCTGTGCCGATTTCTACCACAGACAAGTGGAGGGAGCTTACGGAGCCAAGGGCGCTGTACGTGCCATTTGTGTACATGAACGACGCGAACAGGGACCAGAACCCGCTGGCGTCGTACGGGCGGAATAACCTGGAAAAGCTGAGGCGGATCGCGAAGGCATATGATGGGGCAGAAATGTTCCAGAGACTGCAAAATGGGGGGTTTTCTGCTGAGTAGGGCCTGAGCAGCCAGATAAGGTGATGTCGTTCTCCATTCCCAGTTGTCCAGACCACACTTATCTTTGTCAACTTGCCGTTAACCGGGTAGTTTTCAATCTAGCCCAGTCACTCCTGGCACACAGCTGGACGCCGTGTTGATTTCATTGGGTTGGGGTTTGGTTGAAGCACTTGGTCCTTCAAGTTGGTCAGGCGGGATCTGATGGGCGGCCATCATCGTAAGTGGTTCGTTGTCGAGGTGGTGAAATTGAAACCGGGGAAATGGCTGCTGTGTGCGCGAGGTCCAAACTGCTGCTGTTGATGTCCCCGAGCTTACCAAGATATTACAGTACATGCATAATACACAGTACATGCAGAGGCACTAAAAAGAAGAGGCAATGCCCGCCGTTATCGGGCCGTTCCGACCGTCACGGATAACTGACCGATATTATGGTTAGCGCTCAATGGCACGCTACCGGGGAGTGAGCTACATCGACCTGAGCCGCCTCGCTTTCATCACAGTTTCCCTCTTTGGTTGCATACGGATCTGGTTGTGTTTGAGTCTCGACTCATATTCGGCTAACGGGCTAGGAAAGCTTTCGCATCACTCACTTCCATTTTTCTTCCAACTGCATGGCTTAACATAGATAAGTAGATGCTTGTGTTTGTAAGGGAGCTTTTGCTTGCACATATTTACCAAAGATGCACCAGGGCTCCTTGCTCCCAATGCATCCTGTCTCAAAGACCCGAACTAGTGATTCGGTATGTACATAGGTTGCCCGGGCTCCAGAAGAACACAAGGCAGATGTCGATAACGCCGAATGCACTCCAGTTGCCCGTTTGGTTATAACGAACAATGGTGATTGGACAAAAGCGTTCTTTAGCATGTGCAGTGGGTCACCAACCTAAAGAAAAGCCCCAATTGCTCATTTTGCCCGCATACCTCTGTTGAATGGGGACATGTGGAATGTGAATGTGGAAAGGCAAGCGGAAAAGGTTGATGTGGAAGTCGGTCTTTTTATTCCTCTTCGAGGTTCGATCAACGTGCCCCTCTTGACGATGCGGTTGAACTTTTGGTCGAAATAGTGGTGGGCGGATGTAGAACGACGAAAGAGTACGCGGAAGGCTAGACACAGTCAAGCTGGAGGCGTGACTGGACTTCAATGTTGGAGGGCCTCTACTAGGTGGGGCTTGGGGGTAAGATATAGCTATGTGATAGACTCGACAAATTGCTTTCATAGCAGGGGCACCCGGACATCTTATCACCATCAGTCAGACTGGCTAACGCAAACAAGTGGTGTAATCGAGTGTTTGAAGCGGTCCGGTCCAATCCAGCAAACAGCAAGGGCGAAGCCTTGCATGCCAACGGAATGCTTATTAAACCTTTCATTTATTCATACAGCGAGGTTTCATCACAAGCAAACCCAAATGAGCACGCAGCCGATTGTTGTTCAAAGTGCTAACGAGCATAGCATTCGTTTGAAACACAAAATTACATTACTCCTTCCTATTTTATTCTATCCTTTCCGTTCCAACTCCTAAATGACGCACTGGTTCCAGCCCAGTTACCCTTGCCTTCAATCCTCAGTGTACCCCATCATCTACCTTACTCAACAACCATCTTCCTCCCCCCCTTCGCACCGGTAACATCAATCCCAACCCCATCAACAACACATCTCCGTCCCGTCCTCCTAAACTCCTCCCCAGGCCACCCCTGCACCGTCGTCCCTTCTTTAACCGTCTCTCCGCCCATAACAAGCGTATGCTCCAACAGACACGCATCCCTCATCATCTCCGCGCCGCTCAACAATCTGCTTCCCGTCCTTAGTACCGCTCCATCCCCGACCCTCAAGAAGTTCAAATCAAACTTGCCCCTGGTATTGATATGTGCCACCAAACTCGCATCGTCAACCGTCACCCTGTCTCCCAGCGCAAGAAGATCGGGCTCGGTGAAGATGAGCGAAGGACGACCGTTGGCGAATAAAGCGCAGTTTTTACCGATCTTGGCGCCTAGCGCGCGGAAATAGGCCACTGTGTATGCGGTGCAGGTTAACATCCCCAGGACGCCTTGGCCTGCGAAGGCGGAACGACGGAGTTGTTCGATTGACAATAAAAGTTGCCAGCGTTGGCAGTAGGGAGATAAGTCCCAGGAGTGGGTGCCTGGTTGGCGGCGGCCGAGGAGGATCCATTTGGCGGAGATGGTGATGAGCAGAGATAAGATGGCGAGGAAGGTGTTGAAGACGGCAAAGATGGCGGCGAAGAAGCCAAAGAGGGCCATGGGTTGCGTGAGGATGGCGTGCGAGACTGGGTGGAGGGGGTAGGTAGTTATGAAGAGGTTGATGATTTGGATGGTGGAGATGGAGGGGGCGCCCCAGTAAACTGCCGTGAAGAGGCGGTTGAAGATGGAGTAAAAGGTAATTGTTAGGGGGGAGTAGACGTGGTAAGGAGCAAGTCCGAGGTAGAAAGCGCGTCCAAAGGGGGTGCT